TGTGGCTACTGGTTAAAATCTGAATTGCAGGACATCTAGAACTGACTGAGATTGTGCTGTGTGTTGACCTGTACTTGAAGTTGCTAAGAGTCATAGCTGCTATGACATGCACATATTTTTCTTTATGTTGCTTTATTGTGCTCTCATTTGATCTCAATGTAATCAAAATATCAGTCCACTCTACACTGTGTGTGAGTCTATTTTCTGGTGACAGCCAGGGGGTTCTTCTGGCCAGAAGCTTACGGTGGTGTCAGCAGTGGTTGAGCTTCCAGAGTGGGGTCAAGATCAACAGCCCGAAAATTTGAGTATATGCCTTATGCTCTGCACATTAGTTAAATTTCAAACCAGACTAGGAGTGAGCAAGGGTGATTGACACATTTCATAGTGTAACGACTAGCTTATCAACCGTATATTCAACAGACCCATCTCCCTACATGACCCTTCACATTTAGTGGCCACCTTTCATATGCATGCACTAGGAGTCCATGTACAAGGGCTTATGGCTTTAGAACTACCCCCATAGGAGCTTCTGGTAAATACTGGGTTCTCCTACCATTTCCAGTGATAACCCGCCCTGTAAATGAATCTACAGTACACCAACACTGACACAAAATTGGGCTTTACTAAAACTACAATAGGTTCTGCAGAAAAATATTGGTTAGACAGACCGAACAGCAAAAAATACAATAGATTGTTAACAGCAGTATCATTCAGTAATACAATATAATGAATAAGGTTGGTTTTCATTCTTTTTATCACCAGTGAAAGGCCTTGTCTGAGGGCCCATTCACACTATGTGCAGTTACTTTCTTTCTTCCTTGTGGATAAATGTGGGTAACTGCAATGACACACAGAAAACACTACTAGTTTTTTTGTGTTTCCGGTTCACACCAGTGTTTCATTGCATTCCAGGGCTGTGCAATATTATACAATGCGTTTGCATAATATCACACCTCTCTTGATGGCCTTTCATGGCTCCACACAGCAAGCACAGTGACATGAATAAAGTGTCACTTTGTGCACTTCACACAAAGTTCAGAAAAAAAAAAAGAAAAAGGGAGCTGTATGATGAGATAAAACAGCATCCCGCTGCCCCCTGCTGTGCCGCTCTGCAGTCCAAAAAGTGCAAAAGGGCCTTGAAATGCACCAGGGTAATAGTGAATGAAGCTACAAATACAGTATCAGTGTGAGGGACCGCCGAGAGGCACCACTAGCACTCCACTGGTCAGGCGTGCCCAGAACGCGGAGTCTAAGCCCCGGGGTACTTGTTCACCAGGGCCCCTGATGGTGGGGATGGACTTGTAGTACCCCGAGACCAGGTCGCCTCTACTGAGCACACCTGTCAGTGGTAGGGGTGTTCGCCAGGGGTTCCAACCAAGGAGAGCCAGATGTGAGGAGGTCGGGTGAGCCCGATGGGATGGATGGATGGATGGCTGAGCAGGTGCGTAGTCAGACAGGCCGAGTCGGTAATGTAGAGGACGGTAAGGTACAAGGGAGCAGGCAGAGAATCGTCGGGTCACACGCCAGGTCAGCAACAGGAGGTCAGATCTGATAAGGGGCATCCAGGGAGAGAGGTCAGGCAAGCAGGGGTCTGGGCAGGAGAAATCAGCAAGGTCAAAGGCAATCCGGGTCAATAACTTACTAGGCACAGGTACAGGATCACAGGAAGCAGGTAAGACCAGAAGGCAACGAAATGACAGCTCAGGGACCTTTAAATATCCCGCCCTGCGCTGCCATTGCTGCCCAGCGGGCGGCCGCGGCTTCTACTGCGCATGCGCGAACTCGAACGCCGCGGCCGGCCCGGACCTAGTGCCCGTGCACTGGGTGGAGCAGTGCGCCTGCGCCGGGACCATCGCGGCAGGGATCGCGGAGATCCCTGACAATCAGTAACCAATAATCAATGCACAAATATCCCCAATATGTAGCAAGTGGAACAAGGCTAACTATTGGGGTCTAATTGCAATTACGAAGACCCTAGCTTACCACTGACCACTGTGTAAAACTACCACAAAGTCTGCTGGTGGTCCCTTCAAAGGAAGGTATTTGTGATCCACAGAGGTAGTAGGATATCCCAAAAAGACACTTAAAGAATGGTGAGTTCCCTTTGAAATAAAGCTCCACCTGCAGCAGCAGTGCCCCAGCAAATGTAGGCAATGATCAGAATATACAAGGATGGCCAAGCATGGTTCACTAATCCAATGTCCTGCAGATGTCCTTCTTGATTGCAGTCTGCCAAAGACCGCTTTGTCCCTTTCAGGGTGAAGATGGGTGAGAAGTAGGCTGCACTGTCGTTAGCAGGCTTCTCCTCCCTCTGGATACCTGTGGCCACTGATGTAGGGGGCTGTGTGGATTTATGCAACTCTGTCCCTTGGCCTCCCTGTTGGTCCACATGGATTTCCTCTCATTATCCCTAGTGGCATATTGCACTCACTCCCCCACCTCCTTTCTTAATTCTAGTCACTAATACTGTCAAACACCTCCGTCCTGTGTCTACCCCAAGGTTATGACAGGGAGGGAAACCTCCCTTCCCCAGTTTCCCATCATAGACAGCTCCAGATTATGATAGATTTCACATGGTGTAAACTGTCAGCAAAATTGTCGGGGAAAAAATCCTATTTTCTTATAAAAAATCAGAATATAAAATCCATTTTTATTTCTGCAGCCTATATCCAGTCTAGGCTGTATTTTAATGCTTTGCACAGCAGCTTATGTATCCTGTGGGTTCACTTCTTTCTGCCCCAGAACTCTGAATCAGGAAATCATTAGAACTGTACACGGGAGCTCTACAATGGTAAATCGTTATTATATGCAACTTCACCCTGCGCCACCTGCTGGCCATATCCACAATATAGCTCTAATACAACCTTCAGCTTTGTGAATACACTATATTGCCAAAAGTATTGGGACTCCCCTCCAAATCATTGGATTCAGGTGTTCCAATCACCTCCATGGCCACAGGTGTATAAAATCAAGCACCTAGGCATGCAGACTGCTTCTACAAACATTTTTGAAAGAATGGGTCACTCTCAGGAGCTCAGTGAATTCAAGCGTGGTACCATGATAGGTTGCCACCTGTGCAATAAGTCCACCCATGAAATTTTCTTACTACTAAATATTCCACGGTTAACTGTTAGTGGTATTATAACAAAGTGGAAGCAACTGAGAGCAACAGCAACAGCCACAAAGTGGTAGGCCATGTAAAATTACAGAGTTGGGTCAGCGCATGCTGAAGCGCACAGTGCACAGTAGTTGCCAACTGTCTGTAGAGTCAATAGCTAAAGACTTCTGAACTTCGTGTGTCCTTCAGATTAGCACAACAACAGTGCTTAGAGAGCTTCATGGAATAGGTTTTCATGGCCAAGCAGCTGCATCCAAGCCTTACATCACCAAGTGCAATGCAAAGCGTTGGATGCAGTGGTGTAAAGCACGCCGCCACTGGACTCTAGAGCAGTAGAGATGTGTTCTCTAGAGTGACCAATCACGCTTCTCTGTCTGGCAATCCAATGGACATATCTAGGTTTGGCAGTTGCCTGAAGAACGGTATTTGCCTGACTGCATTGTGCCAAGTGTAAAGTTTGATGGAGGGGGGATTATAGTGTGGGCTAAGTTTTTAGGGGTTGGGCTTGGCCCCTTAGTTCCAGTGAAGGGACCTCTTAAGACACCAGCATACCAAGACATTTTGGACAATTTCATGCTCCCAATTTTGTGGGAACACTTTTTTGGATGGCCCTTCCTGTTCCAACATGCGCACCAGTGCACAAAACAAGGTCCAAAAAGACATGGATGAGTGAGTTTGGGGTGGAGGAACTTACCTGAGTCCTGACCTCAACCCGATAGAACACCTTTGGGGTGAATTAGAGCGGAGACTGCGAGCCAGGCCTTCTCGTCCAACATCAGTGCCTGACATCACAAATGCGCTTCTGGAAGAATGGTCAAACATTCCCATAGACACCCTCCTAAACCTTGTGGACAGCCTTCCCAGGAGAGGTGAAGCTTTTCATAGCTGCAAATGGTGGGCCAACTCAATATTGAACCCTAGGGACTAAGACAGGGTGCTATTAAAGTTCATGTGTGTGTAAAGGCAGGCATCCCAATACTTTTGGCAATATAGTGTCCATAGTAACATTGGTCCAGGCTGGACCAATGTAATTCTGTCTAAAATATCAATACTAGCATATATTGGCTAAGTGGTTAGCACTAGGGTCGTTGGTTCAAATCCCAACCATGGCACCACCTGCCTGGAGTTTGCATGTTCTCCCTGTGCTTGCATGTGTTTCTTTCTGGTACTCTGGTTTCCTCCCACACTCCAAAGACAAGCTGGTAGGTAAATTGGCTCCTGTCTAAGTTCGCCCTATTCTATGTATGTGTGAATGTGAGTTAGGGACCTTAGATTGTACACCCCTTGAGGGTTAGGGACTGATGTGAATGTACAATATATAGCTATGAATCGACAGCGCTACATAAGTACCTGTAATATATAAATAACTAGAATTCTTCTTTAAACATTTTACAAAAGTCTGACCACATATTTTCTTTAGATCAGCCAAATTTACCATCAGCTGTGTAGACCTACCTAAATAATCATCCTGTTAATATCTAATCAAGAAGACCCTCAAACCACACAGTTCTGACAGGTCACAACGTGACTGTGGGGTTTATTTAGTAAAGTTGGTTCACTCAGAATCCGTTACACTTCTGCATAGAAACCAATAAAATTCCAGATTTTATTGTCAAAGTTTAAATGAACAAGCTGAAGTTAGAAGCTGATTGGCTACCATGCACAGTTGTGCCAGATTCTGCTCCAGTTTTAGCAAATCCCCCCTGTGTGTGGCCAGGATTAGTAAAGGTGGATATTATAAATAGTTTGCTGGAGAATATTTTGGGAAATATTTATCAATTCAGTCGCACAGCAAGGCAAGGTTAACAGAAGCAATAAGGCAGATTGTGCAACAGATTTAATACACGGTTAAGATGGCAATACACTACCTGCTTTAGATCTAAACAGGGGCGGACTGACCATTTGGGAACTCGGGCACTGCCTGAGGCCCACGGTCAGAAGGGGTCCCCATGAGATGCCCCTGGTACCTTTTTCATAGGCTTTTTTTTGGGTGTGGTTTTAGTGTGGGCAAGGACACAGGGGCCCCATGGTCCCCTATTGCCTGGGAGCCCCATGAGTTGTCAGTCTGCCCCTGGATCTAAATCAACGATATGGTGAAAGGGTCTGCCTGCTTTGATACAAACTGAATGGAATATTTAGGTATAATCTAGAGCAGTTTTGATAAATCTAAAGGAGATTGTGCAGAGTATACAATCAAATTGTATTGTGTACGGCCAGTCTAATAGTATGAGTAATAAATTCTTCCTTTGACTGCCATATAGTAACATTGCAACAGAATGAATATCTGTCTCATGTTTAGTAATAAATCTGTCTCAGATGCAATTACTGCAAACTGCAAAACTGTCACACTTGGCTGCCCATGAAAACAGACACACTGATCTGTAAACCTGTTGCAGAAACTTTGCTGTAGGAGACCTGATTTGTGACAAATTTTACTGCTGTTTTCCTCTTCTCAATCTCCATGTGTACTTTTCTGTGACCACAATAAAGTTAACAGAGTATCAGTCTAATTACTGACACACTGCAGTTCAGTGAAGCTAATTTTCTGTTTATTAGTGTATTTGTCTACAGTCTCACACCTCGTTCTCTGCTTCCATTTATCGTCTGTCCTTACCAAACCCCACTTCACTGCTTCCTCTCCACTTGTCTGTTCAGTCACGGGTTTTCTCTGGAACACTGTTTTGTTCTCCTGCACTTTTTCATTTTTATTCTTCAAATAAAAGGTAAAGCGTTACACTTTAAATAATCAGTAATCTGTCAGGACACACTGCAGTGCGTCAGGACTTGTTCAGACAGACACAAAAAAGGGATGCTTCATTTTAGGGCAATGTTCCACCTGTGTCCAGAATACTTCTCCCTCAGAAGAAGAATACTGTCTGTCACAATGTATTACTTCAGGATTGATGAGAAGTTGTCATAAAGTTGATTGAGAAGTCTCCAATGAAAGTTACCATTCCCTGATTCATTGATAGCTACCAACCGATGCTTCTCACACAGGACTTTTCTTCAAGAAACCAGAATGGCAGTGTGATGTCATGTGGTACCAAGAAGGACAGACACATGTTTATATAAAAAATGCTAAATTTATTCCAGATTTCATTAAAATCACATCATTAAAAAAAAACAATCCAGGGCCATAGCCCTTACAGAGGTATCGTGTGCTTATCATTTTCCATGCCAAATATATTCCAAGAGGTCGACGCATTTCACATTATTTGCTTCCTCAGGACCTTGTATTCTTGGAGGCAGAGAAAAAGAACTTAAATGATGCCTCGAATTTTGAAAATGCAAGATGGTAACCCACGGTGAGTGCCAGCGGGACAGTTATATGGGTGAATTCCTTTAAATACTTAATTAACCACTTGCTCTCCAGAGGATTTACCCCCCTTTCTGACCAGGCCATTTTTTGCATTACGGCACTGTGTTACTTTAACTGACAATTGCGCGATCATGCACCCAAATGAAATTCAGGTCCTTTTTTCCCCACGAATTGAGCTTTCTTTTGGTGGTATTTGATAGCTTGTGCGTTTTTATTTTTTGCGCTATAAAAAAAAAAGATCAAAAATTTTGAGAAAAAAAACAATGTTTTTGACTTATTGCTAGTAAACATGTCCAGTAAAAAAAATTAAAAAAATTTAAAAAATCTAATTTTGTCATAAATTTAAGCCAAAATGTATTCTGCTACATGTCTTTGCTAGAAAAAAATCCCAATACGTGTAAATTAATTGGTTTACGTGAAAGCGTTTACAAATGTATAGATACTGGAATTTTTTTTTTTTATTATTAGTGGTGGCGATCAGCGACTTATAGTGGGACTGCGGGACTGTGACGGGCATTCGGATACTGGGGGGAAAACTGACTTGGTGTCACTGACATCCCCAGTGACACCAATACAGTGATCAGTGCTAAAAAAAAAAGCACTGACACTGTACTAATGGCACTGGGCAGGAAAGGGTTACATGAGGGGCGATCAAAGGGTTAACTGTGTGCTGTTTTATATTGGGCTGTGTCCGTGTGCTTCACTGTAAGCACAATGCTTTGCATGGCTGTGCTGTGCATAGCCATCCAAAGCAGTGTGCACGAGCTGACAGGGAGAACTGTATTGTTTACAAACAGTTCACCTCCCGTCAGAGATGCTCAGCAATCACTGGGTGCCGGCGAGTAATCACTGGCTGGGACCCGGTGATTGACAGCCGCGCCGTGAATGGCGGTGCGGGTAGGGCGTGCATGCCCCCTGCCCGGAAATGCAAAATCACGTATATATATATGTGATTTTGTGCACACCCGTGCCACCCTGTAGCAGTATATATGAAATAGAGCGGTCGGGAAGCGGTTAAGGACATAGGGATATCAGAAGCGTGATATAAGTGTATACATTAATCCACAAAAGGCTGTTCCTGCTTGAAATCTAGATGATGTATCACAACTTCAATAATGGCCCATTAGATCACCCAAAGTCCATGTAAACTGCTATATGTCACACCAAATATGTTCCACCATTGTAACATCATCATTGGTGGCTTAGCCATCCATGGGTGCATTCCCACAGGAGCAGTGGGGAATTGCATTCCTGTTCAAATTGCATGCTATTCTTTGCGGTTTAATTTGCATCCATACATCTTCTTTTCCTTTCATGGTACTGAAAGTGTTTGGTATGCAGCCTATAATCAAATACAAATCACTTTTTTTTACTACTTCAATCAGTAAGTTTAAAAAAATGTGTTACTGTAGATAAAAATTATAAAATGTTTGCCATAATTTGTCCCTTTTTACAATTACACTAAAACTATTGATTTTTTTTTTTTGTAAATCTTGCACTCTTTTTAATGCACCTAAAATAACGAACAAAAATAATAACCAAAAAAGTTTCAATATTGTTGGTTTAATTAGAAAAAGAATATTAAAGTATACGTGAGCCCTCACCTTATGAAACAACCCATTCAGTTTAAAATATGAAAGGAAAGGCAAAACGTTTGTGTTTAGATTTAATAAACATTATAAATACCTTTTCTGACCCTTTTTTCTTGTTCAATCTTTTGATTGTTTGCAAGTGAAGGAGGTTACAATTATGCACATGATGAAAAACTAAGCATGAAAAGGAACAAAACATCACAAGTGACATGAATACAGTAGCTCTCCAGCAAAGAGGTCAAATATAAGGAACAACTGTATACCATGACTTCAATGTAATATAAATATGCATCATTCATAACAATAACTATAAGTGGGCTACCACAGCTGGGGTGGGGATGAAATCTTCCCCTTTTTTTTTTTTAAAAGATATTACATACCCTCTGTTCTCAACTGCATAATGATTAAAGAGCTGGGGGAGGAGGAACACCAGAACACTGATCTTCCTGGTCTGTAACCTAAACCTATTAAAGTGGAGCTCCAAAAAAGGGGAATCTCCGCTTGTCTGCCTTCTCCCCCCTCCACATTTGGTACTTTTTGGGGGGATGGGGAAAGGGATTACCTGGTTTTGACAGGTACCCGCTTCCACTTCCAGCTCAGTTCTCCGCGGCGAACAGAGCCGAAAGTTCGGACTCTCTCCTTCCCCCCACAGTCTTCTGGGACACTTCACAGGTCCCAGAAAACTGCAGGACCAACTTCAAGGTGCAGTGCTACTCGCACATGTACGAGTAGCTTTTTTTCAGTGGGAATGTGGGGGAACGCACTGAATGTATGTAATGGCAAGGGGTTCTGGGGTGTGCTGGAAGATCTAGTGATGCTGGCTCCTGGGGGATCTATTGTCACTGGAGGGGATCTATTTTTGCATGGTGGTCTTGTTGCTGGGGAGGTCTATTGTTGCTGGTGGGGGATCTATTGTTGCTGGAAGTGATCTACTGTTGAGGGAGGGGTTCACTGCTGCTGGCTGCTGCAGAGTCTATTGATGCTAGCTACTGGGAGGTCTGTTGCTGCTGCTGGGGGCCTGTTGTTGCTGGGGTTTTTTTTTTTTTTTTTCGCTTGGGGGTCTATTGCTGCTGGCTGCAGGGTATCTATTTGACTGAGTTTCTTGTTATCATTAACAAATTCCATACAAATTACTTAGCACCACAAAATGACACGTGACTGTGTATTCTTTATAAGGAGCGATACTGGGAGGAGGGTAGGGGTGGATCCAAGGGACTGTGCTCAGAGGTGGGTAGGGGGGAAGATACCAGAAGTTATTTAGAAGGGGGGGGGGGGTTCTGCACCTATTCTCTAAGAGAAAAAGAAAAAGGAAAATAGTCAATGTTGGATGGGAGAATGGAGGGGGGGGGATTTAGAAGGGGGGGGGGGGGTTCCTGCACCTATTCTCTAAGAGAAAAAGCCCTAAAAATAGTCAATGTTGGATGGGAGAATGATGTTCCATTTTAGGTGTCTTATGGCACAGGTTTGTTCTTTTTGAGGAATAAATTGCAAGACTTGTTGCCAGCTCTGCCTAGATGTCTATTACTAACTTCTAAATCCTACCCATTCTTATAATATACACACTATAGGGACTATGATTTTATAATGCAAGATAAAACGGGGAGGACACCTGATAACACAGGACCTGGCAACAGGACATAGGACAGCTCTACATTTCTTCTATTTTCTGCACTTACTGAGCAAATTTACAATGTCACTAAAAGCAAAACTTTTGTTTTTTTTTTTTTTCATTTTGGACAGAGTAAGGGAGGGTTATAACCTGTGTCAGTTTTTTTGCCTGATTTTCCTTCACTTCCTGTCCCACAGACAAAACAGGAAGTGAGAGGAAGTCCCTTCAAAGTGAGGGAATCCTGGGCTGTCACCAGAACTAGTGTCCCCATTGGATGATTTTCCCTCTATTCCTGTTCTGATGATGTCCCAAAATGTGGGCTTTTCCGTCACTTCCAATATTATAAAACCGATGTATAATGTGAGCAGCAGTTGAGAATATTTTAAATCTTTTTTTTTTAAAAGATTTTAGTCATGCAAATCAATCAAAATCTTGACCGTTTTAGAAACTATGGAATTTATGTAGTATGGTACCTTAAAAAGTCCTGTCATTAGCCCAATATGGGTGTTTTTGGTTTTGTAGTACAATTGTGGGGATGTGGGTACCATCTGTATAAAAGTATTTATATTCTAAGATAGGTTTTCTCTTTGCATAACCGTTTACGATCGCCCGCCTGCATTGTACTGCAGAATGCAAAGCGCTCTATGGGTACGTCGCTGCCTACTTCTGAGTTCTGGGCGTGCCCCCCCCCCCCTCAACGACACCCTCTATGATTGTACACAGCAGAAGTCTGTTAGCAACTCCAGCCTATGATTCATGGCCAGGAGCTGCTGATCGCCTGTGTCACAGCCCAGAGCTCTGTGTTGACATTCAACACAGAGCTCTGTACACAGGGAGCAATCTGTCAGTTTCTCATCCCTACAAAGCAGGAATGAGAAACTTATAGATCTCTTAGTACACACTTAGCACACTTTACAAATAGTTAGACACACATTTAACCCCTTCTTCGCCCTAGATGTTAACCCCTTCCCTGCCAATGTCATTAGTACAGTGACAGTGTATAGTATTATCACTGATCAATGTCACTGGCGATGTCAGTTAATGTCAGATTTCCGGCCACACTCCCACAGCCCCATTATAAATCGCTGATCGCCACCATTAGTAGTAAACAATAATTCCAGTGTATCAGGGGCAGACTGACCATTTGGAAAACTCGGGCGCTGCCCGGGGGCCCGGGTCAGTAGGGGGCCCCATGAGATGCCCCTGGTACCTTTTTTCATATGCTTTTTTTGAGTTTGGACAAGGACACAGGGGCCCCATGATCCCCTATTGCACGGGGGCCCCATGAGTTGTCAGTCTGCCCCTGCAGTGTATATATACACCATAGCTTGTAGGCGCTATAACCTTCACACAAACCAATCAATATACATTTATTGGTATCATTTTTTTCATCAAACACATGTAGCAGAATACATTTTGGTCAAAATTTATGAATAAATTTGATTATTGGATATGTTTTATAACAGAAAGTAAAAAATATTGTTTTCTCAAAATATTTGGCTTTTTTCCATTATATTTCAAAAAAATAAAAAAAACCCAGTGGTGATCAAATATCACCAAAAGTGCAATTTGTGTGGAAAAAAAATAATGTAAATTTGGGTACAGCGTTGCATGACCGCACAATTATCATCAGTTAAGGTAGCACAGTACAATATAGCAAAAAAATGGCCTGGTCATGAAGGGGGGAAAATCTTCCAGAGCTGAAGTGGATAATATACTGTGTGGGCACTAAAGTGTGAAAAAGACAGCAAGTCCAAACCTCTACTAAGGGCGGAAGTGATCTACCTCTACGCGAACAAATGAGGCCAGAAAAGGGGAGGAAGTCCGCATCTGCAATAAGGGCGGAAGTGTTCTGCTCATCATGGCGATAGTGTGGGCGGAAAAGGAGCGGAAAGCCGGGCTGCCAGTAAGGGCGGAAGAGTTCTGAGAGGGCTTTTGCGTGCCGGAAGTGACCACAGAGTGTCAACATGCAAGATGGCAGCTCATCACAGGCAGAACACCGCCGGGCGGAGGAAAGTTCAGGTAGGACAGATGGCGGGAGATGATCTGGGGGAGTGTGCGGCGGATGTGGTCGGTGCTGGGGGTGGTGGAGGGCGCTCCCCCTCACACACATACAGCTGCCCTGGTCCTGGGGGAGCCCTGTGTGCTGCACCCTATGAAATGACCCCGCGTGCACGGAGGGCTCCCAGCCTGACCCTGGCAGCTGATGGGGATGTTTGGAGGGGAGTTCCACATTCTGATCAGAACAACCCCTCCCCCCTCTTCTGAGACTCTTCCACCCGGATGATGTCACGATTGTCCTCCAGGCTCCGATCCTTCCCCGGGACGGTCATTGTACAGAGACAGGGACGGCTGCTCTGTAAGCAGTGAGGAGATGTGAGCTGAAGGCAATGATAAAACCTATAGGGATATAAAGCAGTTGTTGTTGTATTTGTCCATCCAGTCCTGAAATTTACACAGCTCTACTACGCCAGAGACCTGATTACCCCTCCCCAAGCCTGTGATTGGACAGTGAAAGGAGAAGCAGTACACTGATGAGCTCTTCTGTCACTCTGTTCTCTCCTCCTATCAGCATACTCCTTGTGCTGCAAGACACCTGATTGGCTCCTCCTTCTGCTTCTTCCTTCCCCCAGTCTAGTTTTAAAAATGTTACATTTTGTATTGTCAGATTGGTTACAGCACTGTATTAATGTGTTTTTTTTTTTTTTTTTTTATATCTGTCCGGAGTTTGGCTTTAGGGCGGTTTTCCCTGGAAGTGAAGTCCGTCTCCCAGCAGGCTCTGCCCCCTCTGCGGTGCCATTGTTATGGCGCATGGCCTGATTTATCCATGGACTTTGCCCAGCCTCTAGGTCCTGGCGGAGCCCCAGGGTACATGTGCATACGATGGTGGCTCTCCATATACGTGCAAAGACCATTTTCGGACTTCCTTGGTTGCTGTGTGTGTGCCGCAGGGCTTTCTCAGTATCTGAGTCATGCAGCACGTGTGCAGGAGGCGGGGAGACATTCTCACCTAGGCTCAAATTCCAGAAGTGCTGCTCTGTAGCAACAATAAAGCTTACTTAAAGCAAATTGTGGGAATCTGAAAATAACAAATACTTATATTCACCTCCCTGCTGCAGCATTAATGTGAAGCCGCAGCTGTCCCACACCAGCCCTACATCCAAGAACTGAGCAATCGCATGACTGCTGATCTCAGTTCTCGGTCTTTCTGGAGCAGAAAGCCCTGTCCCTCCAGCAATTAGTGGAGAGGGGGCAGGAGTGGCCACATGCTGAGACAGCTGCTAGTCAGGCATCCGGGTGGATCTCGACATTATTGTCTGGGTACATCCAGGGGCTGGAATGGCTCTGTTGTTCTTGATGACAGCAGAATTTATCCCACTGTCAGCTGATTCTGGGTCACAGGAGAGCAAAAGTAAGTGCACTCCTGTGATCCACAAGAGACATATTACAGTGCTTGTATGTGTGTATACACATGTATAATATGTGTAATCCATTTGTGACAGAAGGAGGGGGGAGGAGGAGGCAGGGCAACCCAACATGCCCTAAAGCAGGGGTGTCAAACTGGTGGCCCTCCAGCTGTTGTGAAACTACAAGTCCCATCATGCCTCTGCCTTTGGGAGTCATGCTTGTAACAGTCAATCTTGCAATGCCTCATGGGACTTGTAGTTTGGCGACAGCTGGAGGGCCGCCAGTTTGACACCTGTGCCCTAAAGGGTGAAGATCTACCGTAACTTGTTGCAGTATTTTTTTTTTTTTGGTTAATGTGAATTTATTGACACATGATACTTCTCAGGGGCCTTTTGACACATGATACTTCTCAGGGGCCTTTTGAATTCAATGAACACCTTAAAAACTGCAGTGACACGTGAGGATGAGGACCCCTCATGGTACAGCATACACTTAATACATAAACACGTGTCTACACATAAGAACACACAGTAATCCACATGCATAGGTGGAAAGGGGCCTGGCTCAACTTTGGGAATTTATTATATTTTTTGGAATCTGTCCCATCAATCTCTGAAGAGGAGCCCCTCTAAAGTTTTACACTCTTTCAGTAATAATTTATTGTTCGTGTGTGAGATATAACGTATCAAGTAGTGAGGAATTTCAGCTGAAAGAGGAGATGCTGCAGCTGTCTGCCCACCAACTAGCAGGAAAATGTAAATCATTAATGGGACTCATAGTCAGAAGTACGGTATTCTGAATATTTGTGTTTTTTTTAATATCACAGGAAAATATGAAACGTATAGAAACAATAAGCCAGAATGTTTTGTTTGTTTTTTTTTTTTTTTTTTTTTTTTTTTTTATTATTTTGTCTAGAGTAGAGGAGGGTTATAACTCCTGTCCGTTTCGTATTTTTCCTTCTGTGTCTCATTAGGGAGATTTCTCTTCTCTTCATTTCCATTTTTCAACAGGAAGTGAGAGGATGCCTTTCCAATGTGGGAGAAATCTCCATTCCCATTCACATTGGAAGATTTCGCCTTTATACCTCATCTGGTGCCAACATCCAAATTTTTAATGTACCCTCACTTTCATTGCTGGTGACATTAGTGATCAGGACTAATAGGGTGAATCTCTCTAATAAGGACACTGTAATAAAATCCTGACAAGTGTTCTAATTCCTGTGTTTCAGTAACTGTGATCATTCACTTTCATGGCATGCCACCAATGTACCTGTTGTGGGAAACTGTTAAAGGGGTAGTAAAGTCAAACTTTAAACCTGTAGCTACAGGTAAGCTTTCATTCAGGCAGGGGTCGCCAAACTTTCTAAGCAATGGGTCAGTTTACTGTCCTTCAGACTTTAGGGGGGGGGGGCAAGACTGTAGACTGTGGGAGTAGAAAATGCCCCGGTATCAGTGCCCCATCATTGGATTGAAAGGGAGGAATACTGCCCCATTGCTGATACCAGTGAGATGTGTAATGCCCCAATGATGGTGTCAGTAAGGGGAATTGAGCACCATCATTGATGACGGTTGGTGGACTAGTGCCCCAAGGGCCAGATAAACTCATGCAAAGGGCCACATCCGGCCCCCAGGCTGCAGTTTGGAGATCACTGTGTTAAGGTATACCTGTAGGTACAATGAATGTGGTCCAAACACACACCATTTAGGGGATGCAGTGCATACTAGCACATTATGGCATTAACCTGCAGGGGGTCCATATATTGATTTTTTTTTTTTTTACTATCGCTTTAAATTTATGGGTTTAGTTCCACTTTAATTTTAACAAAAAAATGTTAGTTACCAGATTGAAACCTGCCTTAAAAACTCGAATGTGAATGGAGATGCAGCCAACATAGCGAGAGGATATCATAGAAGCTTTCAGTGACCCTGTGAGGGGCTGTGTGTAGCATGGTCATAGTAGATTGCAGAGAGCTGGGATGATGGAAACCTTCGGATTTAGTTGCAGCTCTTTTGGATAGTATTAGTGACTGATTTTAATGTGCCTAGAATTGTTGTAGAGGCTCAGGGCTCATTCACACAGGCTTGTCTATCAGTATACCTACGCAAAGAGGTTGTGCCATCCTTATGGGATGCAGATGTGTTCGTGCAGACACCTTGCTGAAATCAGTGAAAGGTCATCGACTGCAAAACCTTTTAGGATCGCCACGTGCATCTGTGTGGGTCCGGTGAATTAATGAGAACACTGTGAGACCCACACGGATGTACACTTTGAGATGTGCTTGCTCTTCTGTGCATATCCGTACAACCAGCATTGAACCCTTACCTATGAAATATTTATATTGCCTCTCTCATTATGTCTTATTTTGAGTATGAATGTTTTGTTTGAATTATTATAGTGAATGACTGTCTGTGGCCAGGCCTTGTGCAAGCAAAATAACATCGGAGGATATAAACATTGCTGAGCCCCATACTGCACAGGCAGTGAGAGCTTGGATTGTTCTGAATCTGAGCTCTGAACTTTTTGGGGTGAATGAGATCAAGAGACCAAATATCCTTCTTTTTTTTTTTTTTTTTTTTCCATTTCAAAAGTGTTCTCACCCTTTTTTAGATCTGAATGGTCAACAGTTGAGTACTTATGTCACACAAATGTAGAACTGAACTTTGAAAGACACTGGTCATTTATTCCATAAATCTGTACCAGTATATAAGTCATCAGTACTGGTTATGTTTAAGTATGTATAGCTGCTAGGATGAAATTATATAATTTTGTGTTTTTGGAGCCTTGCAATTATTTGTTATATTTAAAGGGCTTCTTTATATGCTAAAGTCTAAACGCACCACTATTAGACATGCTAATCTCTGTGACCTCTAATGTTATTTACTATAGGATTACGTGATCATTATTATACATTCATTGTGGTTTATTATTTTGTAGGTTTCCTATGTCATTAGAGATGAAGTCGAGAAGTACAATCGCAATGGAGTGAATGCTTTGCAGCTTGATCCTGCACTGAACAGGCTTTTTACAGCTGGACGAGACTCAATCATCAGAATATGGAGTGTGAATCAGCACAAAGTAAACATGGGATCCTGAATACCAAAAAAAATGCTTCCTTACCTCTGTACTCTTGTGTAATCTGTCTTCAAATGGCGTTCTTTGATGGATGCATAGGTGTTTCAGTAGAGGTGGGAAACCTCGACGCTCCAGATGTGGTGAAACTACAGATCCCATAAGGGTACGACTCGCACAAATACATCAGAGGCATGATGGGATTTGTAGTTTCACCACAGCTGCAGTGTTGAGGTTGCCTACCCCTATGTTAGCATTTCTTTACACTTAAAGAGGTTAATTTTTTTTTTTCCCTAAAATAATAAGAATGTTATACTTACCTGCTGTGTGCAATGGTATGGTATCCGTGCAATGGTATTGTACAGAGCAGCCTGGGAACCTCCCCATCTGGCATCCCTCGCTGGTGTTCCTGGCTCCTCCTCTTCTGCTTGTTCCACCATAGGAAGCTACTTGCTGTGGTGGCACACTCGTGTGCTGGGTTCTGAGACGGACTGTATTTGTCCATTACACACACACAGTGCGGCTCTGCGCCCCACTCTCTTCTCACTGGGTTGGACTGACAGCGACTCTCAGCCAACCCTGTGAGAGAGTGGAAAGAGGGGAGAGAAGACTGGCAGACAAGCACTAGATTCATTCAGGACTTGAGTAAGTATTTGAGGTGGCGGGGGGAGAAATGAGCACTGAAATGTTTTTGATTTTAATGCATAGAATGCATTAAGGTGAATAAAAACCTTAAGGCTTTAGACCACTTTAATGTGAGTGCAGTCAGATGATTTAGAAATGTTTTGCGGGTTTGTACACATTACTTGTAGCACAGGAGCAGATTTGTGCATTTTTGGCCCCAATGTCTTTTAAATGGGAGTGCCTAAAAAAAGTGCGTAAGCGCTGCAGTTATCAGGCATTTTTCAGGCACTATTATTAAAGTCTATGGGGCCAAAATCATTCAATTCTTCCCCAAAGAAGCTCCTATACTTTTTTTGAGCCTTATGCAATGGGTGACGAGCACCACAATGCTCGAGTGTGAACAGGCCAATTGAGAATAATGGAATTCTGCATCTTGAGTGAATCGTGCGATAAAGCACTCAGGTATGAAGATGGGGCTTAATTTGTATGATATCACCTTTTAATATATATATAAAAACAAAACCTATTTTTATTGCAATAATTACTTTGTTTTTGTGTATATATAAGAACATTTGAAAACAGTCATTTTATGGTTCTGTATTCTCACACCTGTTTTACAACAATTGACCTTCAGCAATGATAGGATCGGGGAACAGCATTTTTTTGTAGTTCAATATTTATTTATGACAAGAAATGTCTTAATCCAAGGAACAATAGTATGCGGTAATGCTGACTTTGACCCTAATTATTCGGGTGAAATATATCAATGTAAAAAATATCAAGTGTTTGACTTATTGTGCTGCATATATAACTTGGAAACAGTACAGATTGGGGCATGTTTTCTATCTTGCCCAATCAGGTGTTGACATAGAAGGCAGCCACTGCATGAAGGTAGGAGTTTCCTATAGATTTGATTGTAGACAGCCGGTATCATCTCAGGCCTTTGGTACTCCAAGAGTTATTCAGTTTGTGAATTCAGATTGGACCAATCTGCATGCAGCTATCCATGGGATTTGTGATTCACTGAAAAGGATACGATTTTCCTAATCTACTTTGATTCACAGATAATTTTGCTCATCTCTGCCACTAAGATTTGCTTCAAAGTATCACATCATTGTCTTTGGATCTTTGGGTTGGTTTTTCACATTTTCAATGGAAAATCATTTTGGCTTGTTTTATAATGTAAGTAGTTATAGATGTGCCCTTTTCACTAATCTTATTTCACTTTTGTTTAATATAGCAAGACCCCTACATAGCATCTATGGAACATCATACAGACTGGGTGAATGACATTGTACTATGCTGTAATGGCAAAACATGTAAGTATGTTATGGTAATTCTCGTACATTTATGAGTTCTGTACTCTGTGATCATGCCTTAACTGTTGGTTATTTTAAAATGTATTTAAAGCTGTTTGCCTGCTGGAATGGTAGTAACATTGCTTGATTATTTCTCAAATCGCTACAATAAGTCTCATGTTTAAATGAGTTTAGCTTTTAAAGTGGAACTTAAGCTAAAAAAAAAATTAAAATTGGCAGACAGGCAGGAATTTTAATGCAGAAGAGACATGCTTTGTCTCTTCTGCATTAAAGTTACTTACCTGCATGTCTGCCCCGGTACAGTGAGCCGCGCATGCGCAGCTCACTGTACAAACTCAACAATGCTGAAACCAACAGAACTCCCGCACATGTGTGGGAGTGTCATCCTCCCCGCCCAGCCAGTGACATTTAGATAAGCCTGTGAAATACTGGGAGAATATACTGAAAAGAGAAAGAACAGAGGGCGCACTGGCCTAGTGCATTACCTTAAAAAAAATGTTTAATAACAGATAAAAATAGATATTGTACTCACAAACGACAGTAAAGTCAAAGGCACATCATGAAAGAACAGCTTGTACAAAACCATGCTGCGTAGCTGTCCGCTAAGGGAGTTTAGACATCCAATAGGCTAACAAGTTTCGAGGACTTGCCTCTTCCTCTGTGGCTCTGAGGAAGAGGCAAGTCCTCTTAACGCATTAGCCTATTGGATGTCTACACTCTCCTTAGCGGACAGTTACACAGCACGGTTTTGTACAAGCTGTTCTTTCATGATGTGCCTTTGACTTTACTGTCGTTTGTGAGTACAATACCTATTTTTATCTCTTATTAAACATTTTTAAGGTAATGTTACATTAGGCCAGTGCGCCCTCTGTTTGTACTTTCTCCATTCAGTACATTTGGATTTCCTCGGTCTTTTGAGGGCAGCTAGGTGTGCATATTCCAGGACATTCATGATGTGGTCCTAGCCTACACTGAGTCCATCACCAAGCACAGGAGCATTTGTGTTTATTGGGAGAATATAGTTTGGTCAGATGAGACCAAAATTGAACTCTTTGGATGCGAGTTTGAAGGTCAAATGGCAGTACACATCACTCCAAAAACAGCATACCAACATTGAAGTTCGGAGGTGGGAACATCATGGTGTGGGGCTGTTTTTTTTTTCAACATGCTACACTGGCAAATTTCTTCATATGATTGAAGGAAGGATGAATGAAAAAATGTACCAAGACATTCTTGATAAAAAAAATCTGCTGCCATCTACCAGGATGATAAAGATGAAATGAGGGTGGACATTTCAGCAAGACAATGATCCCAAACACAAAGCCACAGAAACATTCAATTGGTTTCAAAGAAAGAAAATAAATCTGCTAGAATGGCCCAGCCAATCACCTGATTTGAATCCAATAGAAAATCTATGGAAATAACTAAAGATCAGAGTTCATAGAAGAAGCCCACGGAACCTTCAAGATTTGAAGACTGTCTGGAAGAATGGGCCAAAATCACACCTGAGCAATGCATGCGACCAGTTTCTCCATAGAGGAGGTGTCTTGAAGCTGTCATTACCAACAAAGGATTTTGTACAAAGTATTAAGTAAATTTCAGTTAGCATGTTCAATACTTTTTCCCTGTGTCATTCCATTTTATTACACATAACCTAATTTCTGAACTTATTTGTTTTTGGTTTCTTTGTACATATGGATTGCATGAGTTGTTACCGACCAGTGGTGAAATTTCATGTCAAGGGCACCTTTTTAGAATTTTTTTTACTGAGAAAAGTGGTGGGTGTTCAATACTTATTTTACCCACTGTATTTAGTGATACAATGTAGATATAACTATTTTTGTTTTGGTACATATTACAAATTTTGTCATACTTGCTGTTGAATGTTCTTACAAAGAAATATTTGCAATGTCATTAATGGTTCTGATTGATTGCTCAACAGTAATATCAGCGTCATCGGATACCACAGTTAAGGTATGGAATGCACACAAGGGATTCTGCATGTCAACACTGAGAACACACAAGGTAAGGAATCCTTACTTCAAGACAACAGTATGATTTATAAACAGACTTACAGATACACTCCAGTTAAACTCCAAAATATTTCCTACATCTGTTGTTGTTTTTTTTTTTTTTTTTCTCTGTTTTTGTTATATTTCATCATAATATCACTTTAAATTGAGTTTGACCTGGCCAAAAATGTCTACCACAGTGCTTGTGTTAGACTTCTAATCAATCCCTATGCCTGTGGAGCACCATGAATCCTAGACCTAGAATGTACAGAGATCCTTGACTTTTGCCAAGTCAGGATTAAACCCCACCATGTGTTAGTGCTAACCATTATTTATTTCTCAGGTCATCTGCTATGCTGGGTTTTGTCTTTTGACAGTCTAATGGCATGAGCGTAGCTTGGTGTCAGGAGTGCAAGGTTTAATCTCAACATAGGTCTCTAAAAGCACAGAGCGGTAAAGACTAACAAAAAAAAAAAAAAAATTCAGACACCACAAATTGCTTTTACTTCAATTACGTTGTTACCTGAGAAAGTGTTAAAGAAGAATTCCCAGTAAAAATGTTTTCCCATACAATGGGGTTGTGCTTGCATTGCATGAGCTAACTGCTTGTTTTTGTCTAAGGGTGAGGGGAGCAGAGATGTACTTACCTAATCTGCTGATCCTCAGACTCCAGACCAGTCCCTGCAGCTCCTGCCGTGGGCAAAACCCCACTGCATGAGAGAAATTTTTTTTTTTTTTTTCTTTTTCCCAAAGTTTTGCTTTAAGGCATATGGGGTTCACTTTTAAATATATTTGCTCCAGTTTTATTAATGCTCTTAGGCTGAATGGTAGGACAGCATCTAAACATTAACCCGTTATTTATGTTTGTATTGAACTAAAATATTTCTTGCATTCATTATTTTACATTGTGTTATCTTCCCCAGGACTATGTGAAAGCCTTAGCTTATGCAAAAGACAAAGAATTAGTGGCCTCTGCAGGATTGGACAGACAGATATTCCTCTGGGATGTAAATACTCTTACTGCACTGACTGCATCCAACAATACTGTCACTAGTGAGTACTGCTTACATTATAAACACTGCCTCTTGCTGCTTGATCTCAGGCTCTCGAAAGCACAGTAGGCTAAGACTACTGACTAATACTGGCCATATACTTGTAGATTTCTCTTTTTCAATTCAATGGAGTGAATGAGTGAACCAACTCAATTCCCCCATCCATACTAAATCGTGTGGATGGAAGAATCGATTGTGCTTCATTTATAATGCTGTTCTTACACAATTATATCCGTGATTTTTTTTTTTTTTTATTTTTTTTTTTGTCAAGTTCTGTTTTCAGATTAGTGGTTTTAAAGGCAGAAGGTTTTTTTTACCTTGCTGCATTCTATACCTTCTGTATGCAGCCCCCCCCCAAATCTGAGCCCTTTTTCGATTAAATCATGAAGCTGTCCTGCTCCTCATTGGCTCCTGCACCTGTCAATCAGGACCAGTGACAAGGAGCAGGGGCAAGGCTGAGCCCTGTTCTGTGTGTCTTATGGACACACAGAGCAGGGCTTGGGAGCGAGCATGTGCATGCATATGTCCCCCCCCCCCGAGCAAACTTCTTGCTATAGGGGCACTGGCTGGAAGGGGTGGAGCCTAGAGCGCTAACGAGGGACCTCAATAGAGGAGTATCGGGGCTGCTCTGTAGGGAAGGACGTACCTTGCCAGTCGGGCTCACCATCCGCTCTCAGAGGTCTGGGGCGGTGCTCCTACTCAGATCACAGCTCCTTGTACAGCTGCTCCACCATCCACTCAAACTTTATCCAATCAGGCAGGCCTTTTGCTACATAGTTTCTGGTAGATTTTAAGGAGACTCTACAATCAGTTCACCCTGAATGGTCATCTTTGGAAATGGTGCACTATATGAGAGCAAAGTGGACACCTTGGGGGAGATTTACTAAAACTGGTGCACACAGAATCTGGTGCAGCTGTGTATAGTAACCAATCCGTTTCCAGGTTTTATTGTCAAGCTTAACTGAACAAGCTGAAGTTAGAAGCTGATTGGTTACAATGTACATTGGCACCAGATTCTGAGTGCTTTGATTTCTAGTAAATCTCCCTCATTTTAAACCTGTTTCAGAGCAAGCTATTTTCACCTTGTCAAGTCAGAAAACGTGCTGTAGTTAATGAATACCATTTAGGTAAATAATTAACTGATTTTCTGCTGTTGTTGGTTTCATACCATTTTTACTAATTTTCTAGACAAGGTTTAAAAAAGCAGAGTAGCTTGCGGTGTAGCAGAAGACAAGACTTGATTTAATTAAATCAGACCATTCATATTGATGTGTTCTCATATTGGAATTAAAATACTGCCTCCGCCAACTTGCCAGTGGCTGGTCTGCCACATTTTCACATTAGGCATGACTGATTAAAAGAGAATTCCTGGTTACGATAAAGAAAATGGAGATTATTATACAGGACTTGTATAGCGCCAACAGTTTGCTCAGCGCTTTACATTAGATCTTTAGTGCAGAGTCTCTTCCTGGTAATTGCAGAAATTAAATAAGTTTTTTTTAGTGTGTGCAATATTCATTACATACAGTGGCTATAACAAGTCTACACACCCCTGTTAAAATGTCAGGTTTCTGTGATGTAAAAAAAATGAGACAAAGATAATTAATTTCAGAACTTTTTCCACCTTTTAATGTATATAAACTGTACAATTCAGTTGAACAACAAACTGAAATCTTTTAGGTGGAGGGAAGTAAAAATAAAAAAGTAAAATAATATGGTTGCATAAGTGTGCACACCCTTAAACTAATACTTTGTTGAATCACCTTTTGATTTGATTCCAGCACTCAGTCTTTTTGGATATGAGTCTATCCGCATGGCACATCTTGACTTGGCAATATTTGCCCACTCTTCTTTGCAAAAAAACTCCAAATCTGTCAGAATGCGAGGGTATCCCCTGTGCACAGCCCTCTTCAGATCACCCCACCGATTTTTCGATCGGATTCAGGTCTGGGCTCTGACTGGGCCATTCCAAAACTTTCATCTTCTTCTGGTGAAGCCATTCCTTTGTTGATTTTGGATGTATGCTTTGGGTCGTTGTCATGCTGAACGATGAAGTTCCTCTTCATGTTCAGCTTTCTAGCAGAAGGATGAAAGTTTTGTGCCAATATTGACTGATATTTGGAACTGTTTATAATTCCCTCTACCTTGACTGAGGCCCCAGTTCCAGCTAAAGAAAAACAGCCCTAAAGCATGATACTGCCACCACCATGCTTCACTGTGGGTATGGTGTTCTTTAGGTGACGTGCAGTGTTGTATTTGCGCCAAACATATCTTTTGGAATCATGGCAAGAAAGGTAAACCTTGGTGTCATCAGACCATAACACATTTTCCCACATGCTTTTGGGAAACCTCAGATGTATTTTCGCAAAATTTAGCCAGGCTTGGATGTTTTTCTTATAATAATAAGAAAAGGCTTCTGTCTTGCCACTCTACCCCATAGCCCAGATATATGAATACGGGAGATTGTTGTCACATGTACCCCACAGCTAGTACTTGCCAGATATTCCTGCAGCTCCTTTAACCACTTCAAGTCTGGACACTTTCACCCCCTTCCTGTCCAGGCCAATTTTCAGCTTTCAGCACTATCATACTTTGAATGACAATTGCGCGGTCATGCAACACTGTACCCATATGAATTTTTAGCATGTTTTTTGAGACGGATAAAACTTTATTTTGGTGGTATTTATTCACCACAGGGATTTTAATTTTTTTGCTATACAATTGGAAAAGTCCAAACATTTTGAAAAAAAAAGTGTTTTTCTTATAAAATTTTGCAAATAAATAATCTTTATTCATAAATCTTGGCCAAAAATGTATTCAGCTATCTTTTTAGTAAAAAAAAAAAAAAAAAAAAAAAGGCAAATTAGTTTTATAACAAAAAATGTATAATTTTTTACATTTTTCTTTTTCTTTTTTTATTATTATTATTATTTTTAACATACTGTCACCCTAGCAGTTTTTTGTTTTTTTTTTACACTGATTGCTTTTACACCCATATAGGCTGTAAAAGCAATCATTTCTCCTTCTCTCTGGCTGCATTCTTGCAGCCACTGAGAAATACTGTGAGAGCTGCCAGGGAGTGCGTACAGGCAGGGAATGCGGGAGGACATTTATAAACGGTCACCCGCTCCTGCACTGCTCCTTTTTGGCCATTTATATACGTGGGCCGTATGGGAAGTGGTTAATGTTGCTGTAGGCCTCTTGGCAGCCTCCCAGACCAGACGTCTTCTTGTCTTTTCATCAATTTTGGAAGGATGTGCAGTTCTTGGTAATCTCACTTTTGCTCCATATTTTGTATACTTGATAATGACTGTCTGCACTGTGTTCCATGGTATATCTAATGCATTGGAAATTCTTTTGCATCCTTCTCCTGACTGATACCTTTTAACAGTGAGATCCCTTTGATGCTTTGAAAGCTCTGTGCAGACCATGGCTTTTGCTGTAGAATGCGACTAAGAAAATGTCAGGAAAGACCTACTAAAACAGCTGAAGTTTTTATATGGGGTTAATCAGAGGCACTATAAATGATGGCAGGTGTGTACCGACTCCTATTTAATATGATTTTCAATATGATTGCTTAATTCTGAACACAGCTACATCCCCAGTTATAAGAGGGTGTGCACACTTATGCAGCCACATTAGTTTAGTTTTTCAGTTGAGTTGTACAGTTTATAGGTTGAATTAAAAGTAGAAAAAGTATTAACAGGGGTGTGTAGACTTTTTATATCCACTGTAAGTTGGAGGAAAGGTCTCTGTGGTGGCAGTGCTGGTAGATCAATCCAGGTCAGATCTGATAGTTGTTTCTCATATCTTGTTCATCCGTGGCCAGCTTACATAGTGAATATAGAATAAAAAACCATGCACAGAAAATGTGTAGGCTATCATTGCTGACCTTCCTTATAAATGCTAGTTACTCTTCTTTCATGGCTTCAGGATTTTCTAAGTTAATAACTAAGCAGGTATGCAGATTAAAAGCTGTTTAGTATTAGTTATCTGCATAGTTGTTCTGGGTCAGTGTCTCAAAGTTTTGAAGTGTGATACAGCAAGGCAACTAGTGTTTTCAGGAGGCCAGTAGTGGCATACCCAGACTGGACCAACTCTCATTTGTCTGAGCTATAGATAAAGGGGCCAGTATGTTCCTTTTTTAACTTCTTGCCAACCGCAGATAGCCGAATGATGGCTACACTTCGCCCGGCTAGTTCTGGGAGGGCGTCATATGACATCCTCCCAGAATGCGCTCTCCTGCGCGCCCCCCGGCGATCTCTGTGATCGCTGTGTCCTACGGACACAGCTCATCACGTGATGTGGTAAAAGGCCAATCACAGCGGCCTTTTACAACATGATCAGCCTTGTCCAATGACACGCTGATCACTGGGAAATGCAATTGCCGGTTCTCGGCTGCACTTTCCTCACTCTGTCAGAGCGCGAGGAAAGTACTGCCGAGAACTGGCAGTTGTCAGAGCAGGGATTGGCACTGATCATCAGGGCACTGATGATCGGTGCCCAGCAGTGCCACCCAGCAGTGCCACCCACCTGTGCCCACCAGTACCCACCAGTGCCCATCAATGCAGTGCTGCCAGTCAGTGCCACCAGTCAGTGCCCAGCAGTTGCGCCAGTCAATGCCTAGCAGTGCCGCCAGTCAGTGCCCAGCAGTGATGCCAGTCAGTGCCACCTATCAGTGCTGTCTACCCATACCCATCATCCGTGCCACCTATCAGTGCCGTCTATCCGTGACACCTCATTAGTGCTGCCTATCAGTGCTGCCTCATCAATGCACATCAGTGAAGGAGAAAATTTACCTGTTTGAAAAGTTTTTATAATAGAAACAAAGATAAATTTTTTTTTTTTTTCAAATGTTTTGCAATTTTTGTTTATAGCGCAAAAAGTAAAGTGCCCAGCGGTGATTAACTACCACCAAAAGAAAGCTATATTTGTGAGAAAAAAATGATAAAAATGTCATATATGTACAATCTTGCATGACTGCGCAATTGTCAATCAAAGTGCGACAGTGCTGAAAGCTGAAAATTGGCCTGGTAAAGAAGGGGGTATAAGTGCCCGGTAGGCAGGTGGTTAAGCTAGAAGAGTACCTCAGACAAAGAACCTACAAAAGACCATTATGGCAGAAAATACTGTCTTCTGATAACTGTATGTGGTAATATAAAGTGATAATTTTCAGTATGTGGATCCTTTTTTCTGTTTTATCTGTATTTAAAGTGACCCTGTCATTCACTTAAAAAATCCAAATGGAGCTTCCCTTTGGTGGATAAGGGACTATACTTGCCTCTCAGGCAGCCCATATCTTCTACCTCCCCTTCTTCCCACCTCTGTAGACTTTCTCAGACTCATTTAACACTTAAGAAATGTTGGATTCCCCGCTGTGTACTGTGGTTTCATCCTCCAACCTCTGTCACTGCTGTGTCCTGTAGTGATGTTGACGTTGGCACATCTGTCAGCAGTTGCACTTCTGAAGTGTAGTTTCAAAAGCAAGAGATGCCAGATAGATGAGTATATGTGATCATGTGTTCTTCTATCTCAGGGCAGCTCCAATTCAATTTCTTTATGCATATGAATAAGTGTTCATGCCAGCAAACCATTAGAGTTAATGTAATAATTGTATACAGCTTTGGTAGTGTTGTAGTTTTCCCATCCCCTGTCACTTTTATTTTTGGTAGACATCTTGATCTGGATGCAGACCATAACATAAATTAAAATAATTTGATTTAAGATAACACAAATACTGACTACTATCATATAACAACCAGAATACACTATTTTCAGCAGTGGTCCTTTTAAGGATCCAGGTAATAATTGCTTTTCATTGTCATCTGTAGAAAAGACTTAACAAGTTAGATACAACAGATTTTTAGGAGCATTGTCTGTTCTTGGATTTGTCTTAACCTAATACAGTAATACTTATAGTAACATGTTGGTGACATTCATGGAAAGTTTTCCCATTGCTAGTTTTCTTCTTCATTTCATTGATTCATTTTGTGTTTTTCAGCTTCTTCCCTGAGTGGAAACAAAGACTCTATATACAGTCTGGCCATGAATCAGATGGGCACAGTCATTGTATCTGGCTCCACAGAAAAGGTAAATTGAAATTCTAATTTTTTTGTATTCATTTCTTGAACTGAAGCTAGCTGTATAAAGTAAATGTCTATACTCTATCTTTGCTTATGGCGCCCCCACTTTCTGTTATCTTATGAATTGACAGGTTTTTTTCTTCCTCATGTTTAGTACAGCTCTGAAATTTTTGCTTATGACACACCTGAATGTTTGTTTCTATACCAAAGAATTTATATTGCAATGATAAGCACAGTCAGTGATTCATATTTATTTCTTATATTTATATAGTTGTGACGTATTGTGCTGCTTTTTACTTTGTCTGGGCAAGCAGTTACAGTAATTGGTGTTCTCCAAAGGTGCTCACAATTAATGACATTTCACACTTTTATGCAGTTTGAATGGATGGCTGTTAACCTACCAGTGTGTTTTATGGGTAATGGGGAAAAGCACACAGAATATACACATTTCAAACAGATTTTGTCCATAGTGGGATTCAAAGCAAGAACTTAGAGTTGCAAGTGTGTAACTGAAGTATGGTTTACACTGGCACACCCGTTTAGGAAATCTAAACACAGAACAAGTTATCTTGGAAGGTTAAACAACTTTTATACCTTACAGATCGCTTTTTTTCCTGTGTTTTTAGATGTTCCTGCTTTAAAATGTTGGAAGTGTTTTTACACACATTTAGCAATGTTTAGAGTGTCAATTGGATCCTGGATGCACTGAGTTCTATTTTTGCTAAATGCAGATAAATTGAACGCAACTAAACACAGGTAAATGCTCAGTGAGAATGTCTTTTAAAAAAAAATAATTGCATGCAATTTATATGCATTTAGAAATGTCCTCCAAATGCATAAAAAACACAGGTTTGACACTGCAAAAATGGCCTCAATGGGAATGAAGCTTTGGTCTCCCTACTCAAGCAGACCTCCCTGCATTAAACTTGCCTCAGTGCTGATGTTCCATCTCTGTCATGTGCTAGCCTTTAGGACATCATTTAACAGTCAAAAAGAAGGAAAGTTTCAGTACCCAGCTGGATTAAGCTATGTAGTGTGGGTGGTAATCACCAAGGCGGACAGTGACAGCAATGCTTTTTGAGGGCAGGTGCCAGATGTTTGGCACAGTGTGCCCCACTAAACCCAAGCCAATGGCAGGAAAAAACAATATTCAGGTTGATTTGACTTCTAGGTGGAAGTCAAATCTGTTAATATGGACACTTTAGAGGCATTAATGGTCTGGGATAATTTTTTTATTTGGTTAAATTCAGAACTAAATATGAAATATGCATGTGCATTTTTTTTATATTTATCTAAGACATGAAAGTGCGTGTGTAATCCTATTTTGTGTACAGTGTGTGTGTATGTGTTTAATCTCACACACTATATATACAGTTGTGTTCAAAATAATAGCAGTCAGACATCACTAACCTGATCAATCACTGTTTTTGGTAGAAATTATATTTCTACATGGCAAATAATTTACTAGGAGGTGTAGTAGAGTAATAGAAATCCAACAAACCCAACAGTCATGACATGCATGCTGCTGATTCTGTGTAATTGAATCACTAATTGAAAGGGGCATGTTCAAAATAATAGCAGTGTGAAGTTCTATTAGTGAGGTCATTCATTCTTTGAAAAACAGGGTGGCAATTATTGCCCTTATTTAGGAAGGAAGGCAGCAAATGTTGTACATGCTGGTTACAGTGCATTTCTCTCTGAAAATTCTGAGGAAAATGGGTTGTTCCAGACATTGTTCAGAAGAACAGCGTACCTTGATTAAAAAGTTGATTGGAGAGAGGAAAACATATAAAGAAGTGCAGAAAATGATAGGCTGCTCAGCTAAAATGATCGCAAATGCTTTAAAATGGCAACCAAAACCTGAAAGACGTGGAAGAAAGCGAAAAAACCATTCGAATGGATAGAAGAATATCCAAAATCGGAAGGACTCAGCCAACAATCAGCTCCAGGAAGATCAAAGAAGGTCTAAAGTTACCTGTGAGTACTGTTACAATTAGAAGACGCCTATGTGAAACCAAGCTATCTGCAAGAAGCCCCCGCAAAGTCCCACTGTTGAAAAAAAGACATGTGCTGAAGAGGTTACAATTTGCCAAAGAGCACATTGACTGGCCTAAAGAGAAATGGCGCAACATTTTGTGGACTGATGAAAGTAAGATTGTTCTTTTTGGGTCTAGTGGGCAGAGACAGTTTGTCAGACGACCCCCAAACACTGAATTCAAGCCACAGTACACTGTGAAGACAGTGAAGCATGGTTGTGCAAGCATCATGATATGGGGATGTTTCTCATACTACGGTGTTGGGCCTATTTATCGCATACCAGGGATCATGGATCAGTTTGAATACATCAGAATACTTGAAGAGGTCATGCTGCCTTATGCTGAAGAGGAAATGCCCTTGAAATGGGTGTTCCAACAAGACAACGACCCCCAAACACACCAGTAAATGTGCAACATCTTGGTTCCAGACCAACAAGATTGACGTTATGGAGTGGCCAGCCCAATCCCCGGATCTTAATCCAATAGAAAACTTGTGGGGTGACATCAAAAATGCAGTTTCTGAGGCAAAACCAAGAAGTAGAGAAGAACTGTGGAATGTAGTCCAATCATCCTGGGCTGGAATACCTGTTCATAGGTGCCAGAAGTTGGTTGACTCATGCAACACAGATGTACAGCAGTTCTCAGAAACAGTGCTTATACAACTAAATATTCATTAAGTGATTCAAAGGAAAGCAAAATCTTCAAACATTTTTCAGTTTATATAGTGAATGTTTGAGTTTGTAAAGAAGAATACAAACACTGCTATTTTTTTGAACAGTCTAATATTCACTTTTCATTCAATTTTTTTTTAGAGGAACAACACACATTTGATATATTTTTCTTCATGTTTTGATTTGGAATAGAATGTGTAGTGTTCCCAATGTATTTTGTGTGTATGGAAATAAAAGCTATTAAAAGGATTTTGAGCTTTATTCACTTTTTTTGACACACTGCTATTATTTTGAACACAACTGTAGGTGTGTGTATATATGCATTGTGTGTGTGTATATGTATGTGTAATGTATGTATGTATGTGTATGTGTGTATGTTTTTATGTGTATATGTGTGTATATGTATATTTTTGTTTATGTATTGTGTGTATGTGTATGTGTGTGTGTATATATATATATAAATATATATATATATATATATATATATATATATATATATACACCTGAATAGTTAGTATACATACTGTAAATATTATAAATGTGTTTAAGTTTACTTAGTCAATGGCCTGATAGTTTCTTCCATGCCATCTGCTTGACCTTTTGCTGACAGCACACAGGTATTTAGCATGAGGTCACACAGCTGACAGGGCAGAAACCTTCAGACCCCTGTGTCTTGGAGCCACGATTCAGACTACAAAGTATTATGTACAGTGTATCTAATGAAGGGACAAATATCCTTATTTTTATAGGGATGCCTGCACAGTTAAAATAATTTTAGATGGAATAATTTGATTTTTTGTTTTGCCCAGTAATAACTGTCTATCTTAAAAGAATCTTGTACTTGAGAAATATTTATTCCTCCTTTTGATTTTGTAAAAAATGCTATTTGCCTGTTTCATGTATCATTATTTCTGAGTCACTATTTCAGTAGAAATATGAAGCAGTTTGGGTCAAAAGTCAGAATTCTTCATCTGTGTTCTTTTTCTGGGACGGTAACTCAGAAGGTACTGAAGCTAGTTATCATTGTGACATCCAGGCAGCTTGCATTTTCAGTAGATGATGTCCGTAATTACAGATTTTTATATTTTTTTCTAAATTCAGCTGGCTATTCCCCTCACTTCCTGTGCTTTTGGAGATGTCACTGTGGCAGGAAGTGAAGGGAAATTTTTTCAGTGGGGACACAGGCCACAATGAATGCTAATGGAGGCTGTAGCTTCTCCCACCCTTATAAGTGTTTTATTGTTTTGTATTTGTTAGAAAGGTTTCCCTGTTTTGGTGACATTATTGTTGCCAGGATAAGAAGTGAGGGAAGATCCCCCAAACCGGGCCACAGAAAATAAAACAAAAATACTGGTGGATTGTAACAGTACCCTTTCATACTTTATTTGTTTCTGTCTTAATGAATATGTGAAAAAATATGTTAATTAGGCTTTGCAATTTCTTTACCACAGGTGTTAAGAGTTTGGGATCCCAGGACCTGTGCCAAGCTGATGAAATTGAAAGGACACACAGACAATGTAAAGGCTTTACTGCTAAACCGAGATGGTACACAGGTATAAGCCCAATTGACCTTCATGCTGTAACCAGTATCTGTATGTCTGTCTTTTTTAGGCTGGGCTGCTTGGGGTGTATAATATAACATTTTCAGGATTTAACGTTCTTATTTAATGGGCGTCTTATTTTTAGTGTCTTTCAGGAAGCTCAGATGGCACAATCCGTTTGTGGTCTCTAGGCCAGCAGAGATGCATAGCCACCTATAGGGTGCATGACGAGGGTGTCTGGGCTCTCCAGGTTAATGAAGGCTTCACGCATGTGTACTCTGGAGGGAGAGATCGCAAGATCTACTGTACAGATTTGAGAAATCCGGATCTGCGGCTGCTCATCTGTGAAGAAAAAGCTCCCGTTTTAAAGGTTAGATTTGTTGTTTTTTTTCATAAAGATTGCTTGGAGTTTATTTTTTTTTCCAGAGCTGCAGAACTCTTTATTATAAATAATGCATATTAATATATATATATCAGGTTGATCTAAAATGGGGTTGATTTACTAAAACTGAACAGTGCAAAATTGTGCATGGTAGCCATTCAGCTTGTTCAATTAGGCTTTGACAAAAAAAAAAAACAAAAAAACTGGAAGCTGGTTTCTGTGCAAAGCTGCACCAGATTTTGTACTCTGCAGTTTTATTAAATCAACCCTATTATCTTTTTAATGTGTGTATTTTTATGTATAGTTAGGAATCATATATGTACATGAAGGCAGCAGTATTTGTTAATCAGCAACATTTTAATAACTGGCTGTTCAGGAAGCCATGTGTGCTGCAGCTATCTGAATACAATAGCTGACAGTAGAGATTTATCCATCTATACAGTTTATTGTAGATGGGGAATCAATTGATTTCCCTTGTTCGGCTCATGTGCTGAATGAGTAAATTCTATGCATGTTTGGCTAGGCTCAGATTAAACTCCCTTCTATACTGTGGATATACATAGAGAAAGGTCCCAAGCACTGCACACCTAGCAAAACCATTAATAAACAGGAGAAAGCAGCCTCAGCCAACTTCATCCATAGCCACACCCCCCGCGAGTATCGCCCTGCCCAAGGGGCTTAATACTGTTTTATGACTAGGTGCATCAGCTGTCTACTGTATCTGCTATACTACTTTGCCTTTTATAATTTGTGAGTCAAGGAGCAACTTACTTGGAAACCAAAGAAATATATTTTTTTAAGGAAAAATGGTTGTTTTGATTCATTGTTTAGTTTTTCCATGTGGTGTTTTGTCACATATGCAGTGGGCACAGTTGTCCATACATTGTGTGATATTTTACATATTAGAGTCTCTGTTGGTCTTTCTAGATGGAACTTGACAGATCTGTTGACCCTCCAATTGCCCTTTGGGTTGCAACCACAAAGTCATCTGTTAATAAATGGGTAAGAACTGATTTTTCGTTTCCCTGTTTATTTTGTCCCTATTTTATCTCCAGCTCTTAAAACTAGAATTCCTAGCATGCTGGCAAAGAATGATGGAGCTTGTAGTTCCAGTACAACCGTTTTGTGTAATGTTGTATTCCTAATAACTCAGGAAACAAAGTTAATGGGACACTGTTATCTTTTAGCCTATAAAGGGTATTATGAACTTCAGAGCCTCAGGAGAATATGAGAATGACTGTAGCACACCGATGAGTCCAATCTGCTCACAGCCCGACCAGGTCATTAAAGGTAATCTTAAGCCCTCATTCCACACTAAATAGGCCGTATTCTCGTGTATCTCTTAGGTACTGGATTACACCAAAGAAGCGTACATATTTGTTTTGTTAAATCTTCCATGTTCATGTGTGTAATATGGGTGATTGCATTATAATGTTTCATACCATTTTCTGGTGCGCAATTCCTGATTATATTTAGAGAAACATAATTCAGAATTTTTCTATCCAAGGGACAATACTGCGATTCTTTGCCAATTGGGATAGTTCTCTAGTTAAATTAGATACTGTAAGCATATACGTACACTACACTGTATTTGTTCCCATTTTGTAAAAACAGACCTCTGTGTTTTAGTAATAGGAATGGGTTGGTCACAGGGTCTATGTAGCAATATATTTTGAACGCTAGAAATTTGCTGATGATTGTGTTTCTACCCTGTATTCCAAAATGACCAATTAAGATTCCTTAGGTGGGTTTTTTTGTCTTCACTTTGCGTGTGTGGGCATTGCCTAAACTGTAGATAACATGCAAATACTTTTTTTTCTTATTTAAGACTTAAAAGTCTTTCTTTTAATTTATAGTTGCCTTTTCAGTTTGGTTGTTTCTGTTTCTCTCTCCAGGGGGAGCTAGCATTATTCAGTGCAACATTCTCAATGACAAAAGACACATACTAACCAAAGATACAAATAACAACGTGGCCTACTGGGATGTTTTGAAAGTAAGTACAAAAATTATACTGTAATAGTACCATTAAAGCAGTATTAATCCCAGAATCAAAAATGTAATATACTGCAGCTTACCAATCAGATGTGGTGGCTGCATTAGTTTTTGGTTTTTTTTTTTTAATACTTGCCTACCAGGCACTTTTACCCCCTTTGTGTCTGGGCCAATTTTCAGCTTTCAGCACTCTCACACTTTGAATGTCAATTGCGCAGTCATGCAACACTGTTCCCATATAAAATGTTTTTCCTTTTTTTTTTTTCACACAAATAGAGCTTTCTTTTTGTGGTATTTAATTGCCACTGGGTGTGTTTTTTTTTTTTGTGCTATAAACAAAAAAAAAAGCAAAAAATTTGAAAAAAAAAAAAGTTTTTCCTTTTTCTGTTATAAAATCTTGAAAAACAGGTAATTTTTTTTCCTTCACTGATGTGCACGGATGAGGCTGCACTGATGGGCACTGCTAGGCTGCACTGATGAGGTGGCATCGATGGGCATTGATGAGGCACTGATATGCTGCAATGATGGGCACTGACTGGTGGCACTGCTGGGTGGCACTTATCATCAGGGCACTGATCATCAGTGCCGATCTGCTCTGTGACAATTGCCGGTTATTGGCAGTACTTTCCTCATGCTGTGACAGTGTGAGGAAAGTGCTGCCGATAACTGTCAACTGTATTCACTCGATGACCTGCTGTATCATTGGACACAGCTGATCATGTGGTAAAAGGCCCGCTGTGATTGGCCTTTTACTTCATCATGTGATCAGCTGTGTCCGTATGACACCGCAATCACAGAGGCGTGCAGGATGGCGCGTTCTGGGAGGACGTCATATGACGCCTTCCCAGAACTGGACGACTGCGCTGTGGCTGTCATTCGGCTATAGTGCGGTTGTGAAGTGGTTAAGCTTTGTAAGCTTTGTTCTCTCTGTTTTCACATGGTGACCTGGTCAGTAACACACCTCCTCTATTAGAGTGCATCTGTCCCCCGCCAGCTCTAAGTGTGAGTACTGAACAATCAGACACTGTTCTCTTTCTTCGCTCTGAGCAGAGAGCCGGGACTGTCAGTCTCCGTCTCTTTGCCTTTCTACTCAGCACTCACAGGAGCGCTGGGCTGTGGAGGGGGCAAGAGGGGCTGGCTCAGACTCTCAGTGGATCACTGAGCCAGCTGCCAGTCCAGGGATCTGGGTGGATACGGACTTTAAAGTCGGGATCTTTCCCCAGCCTGGACCGACTGAGTGACATCAGCCGACAGCGGACTTTAACCCACTGTCAGCTGAAAACGAAATGACTGAATTGCTGAATTATTCAGCAATTATTTAAAAAAATCAGGTGATTGGATGTGCTTAAAATGATAGTTAGTCAGTAATTGTTTGACCTTTATGATCATGACCTACTGTGGTTCCCCTTTTGATCACATAGGAGATCATTTAAAGTGGTTGTAAAAGCTCAAGGTTTTTTACCTTCATGCATTGTTTACAAAGGTAAAAACCTTCTGTATTTAGCAGCCCCCCCAACACTTACCTGAGCCCCATCACGATACAGCGATGTTCACGACAGACTCGGTTCTCTGAGGACTCTCATTCCTGATTGGCTGAGGCAGCAGTGGGAGTCATTGGCGTGCCTGTTCGGGTGCCCTCATTGCAAGCTGCTTGTTATGGAGGCACCCAACAGGAGGGAGGGGACAGGAGCACCAGCAGGGAACCTGGGAAGAGGAGGATCTGGGCTGCTCTGTGAAAAACCACTGAGCAGGTAAGTATACCATGTTTGTTATTTTAAAAAGCAAAAACAAGACTTTAGTGTCACTTTAAGCATATTTAATACAAAATTAATGACAAATCAGACAGTATGTTATTGTTCAAGCTTTGATTAAGTCAGTGAATAATCTGTTTCAAATTGTAAGGTCTGCATATTTTTTTTTCTTCTTGGCCTTCTATATATATATATATATATATATATATGTATATCTGTGTGTGTGTGTGTGTGTGTGTGTGTGTGTGTGTTTGTTTTTTTTCCCTTGTATGCGTACACACATTAGCATGTGCCACATAAATGTATGTTACAGCTGAATGTTTGCTGTGTAGGCACTTAAAATTCAAGTCTTGCAAACAAGTATTTTTCATTGTTTAAATAGCTTACTTATTGCCAAGCAATGTAAAGGAAATTGAAGCATGCCTCACTGGACCTCTTAGCCAAGTGGTCTAGTCATTTCCCACACCAGCCCCTTAACAGTTTTGTTGGGAGATTGTCTGATTATCTCTGCATTTTCTAAACATCCTCACTTACAACTTTGTAATAATAATCATGGTATGTTGGTTAAAGTAAAAAACAGTAGCACTCTAATACTCCAGAAGGTGAGTCCTGAGGCTGGTGACATTGTATGCTGGCGCTGATCAGGATGTAAGGCTTGTCAAGCTCTAACCTACAGGAAAATGACGCCCGGTTGTACACAGGATCAGCAGGCTGTAAAGCTAAAATAGTACAAGATGATGAAAATTGGCTTCAGCTTGTTTCTATTTAACCATGTAAAGAAAAGATCCCTATGCTTGCTTATTCTGAAACTGGTCTAGTCCCAGGATCAGCTGTCAACGGCGGCTTCTGTGTAAAGGATAGCCGACAACAGATGCCCCATAATAAGTCACAAAAGCAGCCGCTGGAGACCGGAACGGAGTTGCTTCAGAATAGGTAATTATAGGGATCTTTTATTTACAGGGTTAGATAGAGTAGGCTTAGAATGGGGTAGGACTGTGGATTACCCTTAGTTAGCTCTATTTGAGAGTGCCAACCATCTGTTTTGATTTTTCAGGCTTGCAAAGTTGAGGATTTGGGAAAAGTGGACTTTGAAGAAGAAATTAAATCAAGGTTTAAGATGGTTTATGTTCCAAATTGGTTCTCTGTTGATCTGAAGACTGGGGTAGGTGTCCTTTTCTGCATTTTGTAACATGTAATACTTAGATGGAGCACTAGATGGCAGTGCTAGAGAATAGTTGGCTGTTGTAAATACTGAAACTCACCTATGTGTATAATCTTCTCATACCCACTCTCTCTCTCCCTCCTCCCCCCCCCCCCCCTCTCTCTCTCTCTCTCTCTCTCTCTCTCTCTCTCTCTCTCTCTCTCTCTCTCTCTCTCTCTCTCTCTCTCTCTCTCTCTCTCTCTCTCTCTCTCTCTCTCTCTCTCTCTCTCTCTCATTTCTTTGATTAAGCCCATTTCTGGGAAAACATGATAGAGAAATTGGATTCTCAGCAGGGCACAAGTTGTTCAGATAAATATTAAAATTTACTGTGCTTGGGATACTAGATGATCTTCAGGAAAGTAGCGGAAAACTAAATTTGTCCTATTATTTCTTTAAAGTGTTCCTAAACCCAGGACCCTGCATTCACTATATCTTGTCTCCCACAGTACATAGAACATGGAAATGTAATTATTTTAGTAAATATAAACTGCTAAATACCTTTTCTCATCAGCAGTTAGAGCAGTCTTGTGACTTCTATCATTGTCCAGCTGAGCACTGGTTAATCTTGTAGGAGGAGATTTCATTCTTCCCTGACTGTCCTATGAGACTGCAAGACCCCTGACCCTCTGTCTGGATAGCGCTGATTGGCTCTTTGTTGATCACATGCACTCTCATATGAGAAAAAAAACTCTCTAGCAATACATACCACACTGAGCATGTGCAGCTTGCCCCCAAGGCATTGTGCTATCAGCAGATGTTTTAGGGACAGTAGATGAAGGGGAGGATCAGAGAAGACAGGCTCAAACATCCTTTTTAGACAATGTGGAGGATTAACCCCTTAAGTTCCACACTGATTCTACCGTTGTGGGTTTAGTAACACTTTAAACCTTGCATTTAAAAACAATATCCTGCTTTTCCAGTAGACTGTAGATTTTTTTCATTGAAAATCATTGTTATTAAATGTAACCTTCACATTTGTTGGCAGATGCTGACCATTACTTTAGATGAGAGTGACTGCTTTGCAGCTTGGGTATCAGCTAAGGATGCTGGCTTCAGCAGCCCTGATGGATCCGATCCAAAACGTGAGCTACTTTGTTATTACTGTTGTGACAATGTGTTTTATCCAGAAGCAGGTTTTGTTAAAGCTGAACTCCATGCAGAGACATTTATGCATGTGATGTTCTTTTCTTACCTTTTGCAAATCTGTGATTCATTGTAATTGTTAGGCTACAGACCTTGCCAGATCAGTCTTTGTAACCAGAAAGAACAAGCACTAATGGAAGATGCGCCAGACCAAAGGATAAGAGTTCAAATGAATGTATTGGTTTATACAAAATACTTCCCCATAATCAGGGCTTCAGTTGAAATAAGAATGTTAAGAGGACTTGAATCAAGTTACTGCTGATTAGTAACTCTTCTGATCCAGAAATTGGCTTCCCTACAAAGATTTACACAGGAACGCTCTATTTTGTGTTCATTCATGGTTCTTATTTTTACTGAAGCATTGACAAAGGGGGAATTTTTTTCTGACTCACAGAATGCGTTTGGATTTTTTTAATATGTTATCAATGAATAAATTAATTTGGACTCTCTTATCCTTTGGTCTGGCGCTTCTTCCATTAGTGCATGTTTATTTGTAGTGACCTGCTGGGGTAGCTATTGGAGGGTCTGGAGGGTAGCCTTTCTGTTGTGAGCAGCCTAACCTGAGCCTTTGAGCTCTCCGAATGTTTTGTCCTCTTACTACTTTATAAGAACTTGTATCAAAAACCCAGTGCTTTTTTGATGCTTTTTTTTTTTTTTCTTCATTGAACTCAGTCTTTTCATCCCATATAACAAGGGCATTGTGTCCCTTATTTCCTGTTTGTATGGCTGATGGCTGACGTTGCCCGCTCCTTCCCCTGCTTGAGTTCTACTTTACCAACGACAAAAAATCCGTCGTCCCTGGCTGTAGTCGGAGTCTTAGACTTCCGGTCTTTCCTGCCCCTGACAAAGCCGATTTTGATAGGCCAGAGAAGTGGAGGGTGCAGCTATGTGGGCGGAGTCAGAACACATCTGATCCACCACAAACTATTCAAATGCACACCCATTGATGGAACTAATTCTCATTGCATGATGGGAATTGTAGTTCAAATTAATGATGCCAAACAGCAAAAGGAAGTTGTCTGCTTCCTTGATCCTCATTGTGCTTTTCCCTGGGCCTGGCAGTGACATCGCAGGTATTTAGATTTTTACTAAAACTACTTAACTGTTGAGAAAATAAGGGGACAGACATAACGTCCAGATTTAAAGGGATTATGACCAGCTAAATACAGATTAAGTGGGAAGTCCTTCTCTATGATGCCAGGAGTGAAAAAAGAGTAGATAAGCACCCATGCAGAAACTAAACATTTTTTTACTTTTCTACACCGTTAATTACCATGTTTTTCTGAAGAGAGAGCAGTACACAAATAAACAGGCTGTGTATAGTATTACTCCACTCCAACTCGCTCATGATTTGTTTGTCCTTTTAAAACATTCCTCTCCATCCACTGCTTTCTGTTGCCTGTCCTTCTTTCCACTATGAGCATATTGCATTGTATCCATGCAGGCATGAGGTCAGTGATTGATGGGGGTGGAAGCTCTGTAAATAATGAAAAACCAATTCCATACATAATGAACAGATTTCTAGGGACAATGTTAGCCCGTAAGCTACAGATAGTGGTCTTATATTTTATTTACATGAAACCTTTTATACCAACCATACATTGAACTAGTTTAGCAAGGGGGGATATATCACAAATCAAAACAGCTGCCTGATTATGCTGTGATAAAAACAGCCATTCACTGAATCACATACCGGACTTCCACTGATTGGCCCGAGGTGGACATTGTGATGTTGTCTGTGCGACTCTCTACCTCTATTCTGTATTCATTTAAAAAAATACAAGGCTTCCTGTGACTTGATTTTGTTCCGGTAACAGACGGAAATCCCCTGCATCCGCCGTTGGTAACACTGCATTGTATAATGTGGGCAGCGAATGCTGCATACAGTTTATACAGTGACAGCGGCCACATCAGTTAGTAAAGGAAATAGTTCGTTTGTTGGGCCAGCTTGGTCCAAAAGCTATTTAGAAAGTAAACGTGGAGTTTGGCTTTAGGTGAATGATCTATATACACTCACACATACCTATATAGCACATAAAGAAATCAATATGTTAATCATATTAAACATATCTAAACCCAAAAACAAAGATGTAATATATTGTGTCTTAACAGTCTTTAAATGTGGTGCCTGCATTAGTTTCTTCTTTACGTTTATTTTCACTCAGGGATTCTGTTGGTTACACAGTACTCTTCTAGAGTGACCATGCTCACTCCTTGTACTGTATCTATGGAAGAGCAGTGTAATTACCCTAGGTTGTTCTCCGGATTTGGACTACAAATAACTCCTGCTATCCTCATCTCCATTAAATAGTGAGGGAGTAGAGGTGTAGTTTCTATATAGCTTACAGAGGATAGATGAGATGCAAATAACATTGACTGAGAGTTCAGTAAACAGAAAGTTAAAAAGACATTGGATACCTGGCAGGATCAGCTGGTATTTTTCTGTAGTTACAGAACATTTGCTTGGTCTGAAAAAAAAAAACTAATGCAGCCACCACATCTAAAGACTGGTAATCTGCAATATATTGCTAATTATATATTATTCTAGGTTTGGATATTTTAACATTTCAAAGGTCTTAATTCATAGTATTATATGTGGTTTGCAAGGATGGCTATACATATAGGGACTCCATACATATGCAGGTTCTGCATTCTGTCTTTACAGGGCTATTAAATGCTTGTGATGTCTGTACTCATTTCTACATTTAGTAAAATAGTAAAAATATAGAGACGATAAAGAACAAATGTGGTAAAATACACTTAATAACCTTAATTCTCAATTTTGTTTTTGAGTTTAGGCTCTAGATCCTTTAATTTCTGTTTTCTCTGTGTAGTCACAAAGACAGACGTGTGAATATATAAAATTAAAGTAGCTTTTTGTGCTTGCAGTGAACCTTGGAGGTCTTTTATTACAAGCATTACTTGAGTTTTGGCCAAAAACTCACATCAACCCCATGGAAGAAGAGGAAAATGAAGTCAATCATGGTGAGGTGACAATCTGTGAGGGGAAGCCTGTGTTGTGCATATGACTGAGTAATCCATATCTGATGTCTGTCATCTCTGTCATTTTCTTGTGCAGTTGTAAATGGGGAGCAAGAAAATCGAATCCAGAAAGGCAATGGCTATTTTCAGGTGCCGCCTCATACTCCAGTAATCTTTGGTGAAGCAGGAGGACGCACTCTGTTCAGGTATATTCAGATCTATAGTGAACTGTGGAAGACTCCTGTCTGATCTTACAAGTGTCATGTTTTCTAACCTTTGTTTTTACTGCAGATAGTACCTTTAGATTTAAAACAGAAATTTGTGAATTTATTCATGTAAAGGGTAAAGCCCAACTCAAGCCAAAACTTTGTTTTGTATAGAGTGAGAAGGACATTGGACCTTGTCAGGTTTTGTGTGTGTGTGTTTTTTTTTTTTTTGTTTTTTTTTTTGTTTACCATTCTTAATCCATTTTACACCAGGACATTAAATGACATTAACCACTTGCCTACAGGGAACTTATACCCCCTTCCTGCCCAGGCCAGTTTTCAGCTTTCAGTGCTGTTGCACTTTGAATGACAATTGCGCGGTCATGCAACACTGTACCCATATGAAATGTTTATAATTTTTTTGAGACAGAGCTTTCTTTTGGTGGTATTTAATCACCTCTGGGTGTTTTATTTTTTGCTAAACAAACCAAAAACCACTGAAGTTTTTTTTCTTAGTTTTTGTTATAAAATTTTGTAAATAAGTGATTTTTCTCTTTCACTGATGTGCGCTAATGAGGCTGCACTGATGGTCACTGATAGGTGGCACTGATGAGGAGGCACTAGTAGGTGGCACTGATGGGCATTGACAGGCATCACTCATGGGCATTAAAAGGCAGCACTCACATATGGCACTGATAGGTGGCACTAATTGGCGGCACTGATTGGCATTGATAGGTGGCACTGACTGGCACTGATAGTTGACACTGAAAGGCAGCTCAGATGGGCACTGATATGTGGCATTGATATGCACTGGTAGGCACTAATATGTGGCATTGATATACACTGATGGGCACTGGCAGGTGGCATTGAGCACTGACAGCTGGCATTGATGGGCACTGACAGGTGGCACTGCTGGGGCTACACTGATCATCAGTGCCCTGAAGATCAGTGTACATGTCCCCTTTGAGGAATGCCGATTACTGGCTCTCCTCTTCTTTCGAGCTCTCAGCGTGACAGCTCATGAGAAGAGAAATGCTGATAACCTGCATTTCCCTATTTACATGCGGTCAGCTGTGATGGGACACAGCTGATCACATGACCGAGCCGACATCTTCTGCTCTTTCTGTTAATCGGTGATCCGCTGTGTCCGAGGGACACAGCACACTACCGATTGCCACGCTCCCGGAGCCGCGCATGCGCGGTTAGAGTGGGAGGACACCATATGACGTCCTCCCAAAACAAGAGAACCGCCTTGCGCCCGTCTTTACCTTGTATGGCGGGCGGGAGGCGGTTAAATGAAGTGGCCAGAGGTCAAAAGGACAAGACAAAGTCAGCATTAAAAAAAAAATCTAACAGAGTGCTAGAGAAATGTGGGGTTTTAAAGGTGCCTGAATACATAAACAGACATATTAAAAATGTAACAACTTATATTAGTCACTGTATATAAAAAAAATACAATACTGTAAATAATGATGAGAGTTTGGCTGTATCTGCGGTTGGAAGAAGTGAAATTTCCCTACATGTTTCGCCCAATAAAGGCTTCCTCAGGGGAAAAGATATTTTAACTGCAGTTCAGTCTACAATATAGGAAAAAAAAAAATATACATCAAAATAGAATAACAATAGCCATCAAATAAGTACAAATCCTATACTGTTCACAATTTGTATGAAATTCCCCAGCTCACCTAAAGAAAAAACTAACAGCAAGTGCCTTTATTGCTTTTTCTGCCCCCTTTGAGAGCTATCTCATAACTTCCTGTCCCTGTGACACTCTGTTACCAGAACAGGAGGTGAAGGAAAATCTTTTCAGTAAGGTCATAGACACCAATAAATGATAAATGAGTTCTCACCTTTTCCTGCTTTAGGAAACACTAAAATGAAAATGTTTGCTATAATTGGGCCTTACTTGTAGCTATAAACCATTTTTTGGCAGTTTTAACAGATCAGATGTGAGGTAAATAACAAACATATCTGGGAGTAGGAGAATGGGGTATTGGTTGCCATGGGCTCCAAATACCATAAGCCAGGCTTTTAGCCGTGTCCCATATGTACACCTGACTTGATTAACCCTTCCACTACCAAAGATGTTTTTGCACTTGTCAAAAAAATTATAATTTTTAGGTGTGAAGGTTAGTTTAAAGCGGAGCTCCAGTCAAACCTAAAAAAAAAATGTCAGCAGCTACAAAAACTGTAGTTGGTGCCCACTCCGAATGCGTGACTAGCACTGTGCCTTGTGAATGGTCCTGTAGTCTTCTGGGACCTATTGCGTGTCTCAGAAGACTACAGGGAGGGAGGGACAGAGGACAACTTTCCGCTTCTGATCGCCTAAACTTTTTGGGTGGAGCTCCACTTTAAAAATCCAAAAATATAATCTATATTTTTTTGAAAACAGTGCACACAAACATAATAAATTACCTAAGTTTTTTTTTTAAATTGAATATATGAGGTTGCACCAAGTAAATAGATACCTAACATGTCAAGCCTTAAAACAATTTTTTTTTTTTTTTAAATTAAGGTAACAAACATATTATACTTACTTGCTCAGAGATGCCTGGAACCTTCTATTCTGGGGTTCCTAGACATTTTTTTCAGCTCCTCCTCCTTCTGCCACCATAGGAAGGCACATGTGCAGACTTGCACCCAAGCTGAGCTTTGTGCACCTATAGACAAACACACCGCAACTTGGCCTTGCTCCCTTCTTCCAGGTTTTGCTTGACAGCAGCAGGAGCCAGTGGTTCCCACTGCTCTCAGCCAAGCTTGTGAGAGCGGGAAGAGGGAAATGAAGACCGGCAGCCGGGCACAGTGCTGGATCAATACAAGAATTGGGTAAGTATTTAGAGAAGGGGGGAGGGGTACAGCAAATGGAAGGTTTTATACCTTAATGTTTATATTGCATTAAGGTAAAAACCATTAGCCTTTACAACCACTTTTAAAGTTGCGTGTGCCTATAAAACAATGACATACTAGGGTAACCAAAAGTTAAAAAGTACAGATGATCAGTTTAAAGTTAACTATGACTATGGGAGATTCAGGCTAGCACAGCACACCTGTATCTTCAGTGGGATGACACAAGATGTAAACTAACCATGGTAGTAGCATGGATCGGCTGTCAAGCTTTTGTGGTCAGTTTACTTGTAGGAGGAGCTGCACAGGCAGGATCAACCAGGTAAATTAGAGCATCGACAACCAGAAATGTAATACAGAGAAGTCACATTGAACTATGTTAATGAAACAGTGCAATGTTTTTATTGTTATCTTTACAATTTATGTGCTTAGATGTAACTAATTTTTTACACTTTATTTTTTCTTTTTACTTTTCACTGCTATCACATAGGGGTTCAATAGCCCTTGATAGAGTAATTATTATTATACAGGATTTATATAGTGCCAACGGTATGCGCAGCGCTTTACAAAATGGAGGTAGACATTGCAGTTACAATACAATTTGGTACAAGAGGAAACGGAGGACCCTGCTCGTTAGAGCTTACAATCTAGGACGAAGGGTTCAGTGATACAAAAGGTAATAGCTGTGGGGGGGAGATGATGGAGGAAATAATTGGCGGTTTACTAGGTAGAAGCAGGATAGACTTCTTTAAAGAGAGGTTTTCAGGGATCGTCTAAAGGTGGATAGATTAGGAGACAGCCAGACAGATTTGGGTAGGGAGTTCCATAGGATGGGAGAAACTCGGGAGAAGTCCTGGAGGCAAGCATGGGAGGAGGTGACACGGGAACTAGAGAGCAGAAGGTCTTGGGAGAATCAAAGAGAGCAGTTTGGTTGATAGTTTGAGACCAGGTCGGTGATGTAACTGGTGGCAGAGTTGTGGATGGCTTTGTAAGTTGTTAGTATTTTGAATTTCATTATAGTGACAGGTACTCTTTAATGAGACATCAGGGGTCTAGTAGACAATCGGCTTGTGAATTTTACACTTATCGGGGAGTGTGTGTAAAACCCGCTGCTGCTGACGCTAAATGACATTTGTCTGTGGCAGTAAAAAGGTTTTAAATGGTTAAACCCCAAAAAGGTGTTTACAACTTCACTTAACTTTGTATTGTATGTAAACCCTAGCAATGAACTTTTTTGCTTCCTCTTGGTCTGTTTAATATACATTGGAAGCATTGCTCTTGTCAGTAATTCTGAGCTGCAATGTGTCCTCTGCCTTCCTGTGTTATATCAAAGAACTCTCCTAGCTCTTTGGTTGGACTATAGAATGAGCCTTTAGGTGCAACTTATTTGGAAACCTGTAGGATCGCTCATATTCCTGGGACTATTAGGAGTTAAAAATGAAACATTTGAGGTTAATTTTCAGGGGTGTGGAAATTTTTTTTAAAAAAAACTACTTGTCCAAGAGACTAAATCGGTGTCCCAATCTACTTGTCCCTCATGACAATCTACTTGTCCAGATAAAAAAAAATGTTCTTTTTTGAACCAAAACCATATTTAAATCGGAGGTGATATTAGGAATGTTTTAAAAACAAAAGAGGTTTTAATGTGACTTAAACATTTGATATTTTAACACTGCGCTGTTTATCTCCTCCTCCCCTCCCTGCCTGTTTCCAGCACGGCACTCAGGGACTAGCAGGGAAGGGAGAGACCTTGCAGTGTAATGAGCACTGATTGGGTGCTTGTCAGGAAAGGGGAGTGTCTGGCTTATCCTTTATCCCTTTCACTGCCAGAGCCGTTTTTGTGTTTTTTTTTTTTTTTTGCACAAGATTAAAAAAATGATTTTAGGCTTGAAGATTACACAAAACCCCCAAACATGATATATTTTCTGAAATTGGAGATCCTAGAGAATAAAATAGCGGTAGTTCCATTTTTTATGTTGCATGATATTACTGCAAAATATCAGTAAAAAATACAAGTTAGTTCATTTTAGGACACAAAAAATGCAATAAATTACCCTATTTTTTTTTTTTTTTTTTTTTAAATATAGGAGATGAGGTTGCAGCGTGTAGATAGATATCCAACTTGTCATACCTTAAATTTGTGTGCACTCGTGAAATGGCGACAAACTTCAGTACCCTATATTTTCTATAGGTGACGCTTTTAAAGCCCCTTCTAGATCATCAGTATATTGTTACGGAGGAGGTGTGGTGCTAGAATTATTGCTCTCATTCTGGCGTGCGTGGCGATATGTGACGCGTATCGCAATCGACGTTTTCATGCGTAGGAGCCCCAGAGTGTGCTTTTACGTTTGTATGTGCATATGTGTGGGAGGCTCAATTTTTTTTTTGGGGGGGGGGGGGGGGAATGTTAAGCTTTTGGGTGTAACTTTCATTTTTTACAATTTAAAGAAAAAAAACTTTTTTTTTTTTTTAATACATGGGACAGTGCCCCCATGTGATGATTTTTTTGGTGACAGGTTCTCTTTATTGAGCCATCCAGGGTCTAAAACCTGCATGTCTCCCCTCTGCTCCCCTGAATGTAATGCAGGGCACATCAAACTGCAGTACATTCTTTCCTGGCCTCAATTGCCGGGAATCTCTCAACGGGGACCCGGAAGTGACATCATAACGTCACCTCTGGGTCAGGACAGGGAGGGGAGCGGACATGTCCACTCTCCTCCCCTCCTCCCCTCTAGCCACTGGCGGTGAGCCGGTCCCGGGCCCGCAGATGGGTAAGCTTAGCCCGGGAGACCGTGGGCAGGGGGAGCCTCATACGGGGGGGGGGTGGGGGAGGTTGGGGTCTGAGAAGCTGGCACTGTGTGGAAGCATTAGGGTGGCAGCGCTGCCACCCGAATGCTTCCACCTGGCAGGTGAGCAGGGCTGAAGTAAAAAAAAAAAAAAACCTACCTACCCCGTGCCCAGAACTACATGTCCCAGGCAAAGGGCGATAGGAATTCAGCATCCCTGATTTTGTATGATTACATTTAAATAAAATAGGCCAGATGGGAAGCTTTTCACTTTTTTTTTTTTTTTTTTTTTTTTTTTTGTTTTTTTTTTTTTTTTTTGCTTTTTCTAGGTTGAAAGGAAAGGTTTCACATTTGCATAAAACTCTTTAAAATGTATAAATTTTTAACTAGAGTAATGGGTGCTATTTCTTCCCCTTCAAGGCTACTGTGTAGAGATTCTGGTGGAGAGACTGAATCCATGCTTCTCAACGAAACTGTTCCACAATGGGTGGTTGATATAACTGTGGATGTAAGTAGTGTTTTTTTATTCTTATTGGGAAAACATATGCAACATATACTGTTGCCCATCTCTATCTATGATGGGCAGCGTAGTGGCTGAGTGGTTAACACCTCAGCCTGGCAGCACTAGGACCATTAGTTCAAATCCCAACCACAGCACTAGTTTGCATGTTTTCCCTGTGCCTGTGTGGGTTTCCTCCGGGTACTCAGGTTTCCTTCCACACACTAAAAGACATGCTGGTAGGTTACTTGGCTCCTGTCTAAACTGGCCCTAATATGTGTATGTATGAATGGAAGTTAGGGACCTTTGATTGTAAGCTCCTTGAAAGCAGAGACTGATGTGAATACAATATGTGTAAAGCGCTGTGTAAATTGACGGCACTTTTATAAGTACCTGTAATAAATAAAGACCCACGTGCCTGTGTTTGGCTGAAACTGCAGGATGATTAACCCCTTGACGCCTCCCAGCCCTTTAAGAGATTCTTCGGGAGGCGGGGCGCTGGGGCTTTTTAGGAATCATGTGACCGCCGTGATGACGCGTCATCACATGATCGGGGGAAAGGTCCCGTTCGAAAGAGCGGACCTTTCCGTGAGTACTACACATGTGTGCGGGGAGCGCGCAGGGCGCGCGCTCTCAGCACATATGTATTTAGTTCCATGGACGCAAATGTGCGGCCGCTCGGCGTCTAGGCCCAGACGAGGCCGCACATCTGCGTGCGGCCGGCGCAAAGGGGTTAACAGATCATGTTCACTTTATTAAATATTACCAATCAGTACCATCTAGAAAGGAATCCTGCTATTGACTAATTGACATTCTACTTTGCATAAATGTCCTGGCTGGACATCAGCCTCCAGTACAACTTTTATAGATATTTGTTCACTTACTGTACACTTCTTCTACCTGACTTGACTGCTGAAGTCCTGGACAGCAAGCCAATCGATTGCCCCTGCTTAAATGTTTAGGACAACACCTAGCTGCTGTGGTCATTTGTGTAATTTTTGTAAAGTTTGGTACAGGCTTTTCAAAAGTGCTAGTGCTGACCACAGGCTTGTTTCTTGATCTGCCTTAAGATGCAGCAAACCTATAATGGGAAAAGAGCGTTTTTTTTTCATGTTAATAAAGATTCTTTGCTTATCTAGCTGCTAATTAATCCCTTCCTCCCCTCAGTTCTTTTTGCTAGTTTTTATTTAAAGGATAAGTTCACCTTTGGGAACATGTTACATGTTCCACCCGTTTTTTAGGGTAAAACATGTAACATGTTCCCACCTCTGCAGCTTCCACCTGCTGTCCTCTCTCATTGTGACAGCAGTACGGGGAGAAGTTCCAGAAGAAGAGAAGTATGGGTAAGAAGGGGAGAAGTTCCCCATACTAACTGTCACTTTTTGAAAACCGCACGAATGTGCAGGGCTGTGCCCACGCGTCCATGTAGTTAATTCACAGAACAAGTCCTGACAGATTTTGAAGCTGTCAGCTTGTAGTTCTCAATGGATTACCAGAGCACTGTGGAGCACTGTAGTAGTTCATTGATTCTTCCTGTCACAGTGTATTTTCTTGCCCGTACAAGCATACAGACAAACAGGTTTGCAAGAGTCGCTTCTCGGCCTTTTGGCTAAGATCAAGTGTAGTATCTGTTCTTATCAGTGTCCAGTGGGGGTGCTCCCGGCCATTCTAGCTTTGCGGGGATGGCTGTTGTATAGTACCCTCACTGGTATGATGGGGGTCCGGAAGGCTAGACCGGAGGGACAGAAACCAAGGAGCGCCATGATTCGTTCTGGGGCCTTGGGAGTAATTCCTCTGGGAAAGCTGGAAAGACCCAGTACCTCCTGATTTGGACGGATCTACCTTGGTCTGGCCTGGGGCTGAGGAGGCAGAAAGTCCGCAAACTCGGTGCCCCCTGAGTAGATGCTCTCAGGGGTGCCACTAGTAACACCTGGGTGTGGGACCCCACTGTGTGAACATGGCACATGGTCACTGTTTTTACATTCTTTTTGCACAGCGCCCTAAGGACCAGGCCTTTTGGCTAGGACCAGGGCAATTTTTGCTACGGGCCTCAGGGCCTGGTCTGTGCACAATTTGGCATGGTACCACTTTTTTATTTTCTATTTATTTAATTTATTTCACCTCCCACGTTTGTCACTTTTTCTGTTACTTATGCTTGTGTTTTCACGGATGGAGGGTGTGGGTCCTCGGGCCTACCCTGAAGTCTAGGGGGAGGATGTGTGGCCTTTTGGTTCCTTCCTCCCCCGATCCCTAGGGGGCTTTTCTTCGGGAGAGCCCCCTGACCAAGTACTGGGTGTCTGGCTTCGGCTGGACACAAGGAACGGTGGTCCACCAGGCCTTTTGGCCAGGAGGACCAATTGGGAACCTTGTCCCCGTCAGGAGCTTCGTGCCCCGGGGGATCAGGGTAAGTGGTCCAAGCCCCTTTAGGGGTAGGACACAGCACACCCCTAAGTGCACTTTTTCGTGTGGTGTTTTGCACTTGCACATTTTTTGTGAACACTTACGGGTTTTTACGTTATAGTTGCACGTTTGCGGACTTAAAAAAAAAAAAAAAAAAACAGGTTTGCAAGAGTCCTGCATGGGACCAGCGATCTGCTGGTGCAATGCTTTCAAGGCTGCAAAAAAATAGTAAATGCACATTTTTTATTTTTTTTATTTTTTTTTACCTGCAAAAAAATTTTTTTTTTTTAAGTGTACTTTATCCCTTAAACATTAGCACAGAAATATTTGTTATGTGTATATGTTTGTTTTTTTAAAGCTGAAGTTTAGTCAAAAAATTATGCTCCTATAGCTGAAGTCAAATCACTTTCCTGTAATTAGGTACAGTTTGTCCCACATCTTTCAGGTGAGTGGATCCTCTGTGCAGGGGTGACAGGTCCTCTTCTTGCTGCTGAACGTCTGGTGCTGAGGGAGTTAATGGTTGAGTCATCTTTGAGCTGCCTTGGAAAGATCTGATGGAGACCCTTTCCCTCTTTCCTCCATTGAGAAGATCCATGCATTGATCACGCTGCACCTCACTGAAGACTCAGAGCTATTAATTCTCTCACTACCACAAGTACAGCAGCAGGAAGAAGGCCTGTCATCCCTGCACAGAATGTTTCTACAGGACCCAGCTGCCCGATAGACGTCTGACATACTTCATTACAGGTAAGTGATGTGACTGCAGATTGACTAAACTTCAGCTATAAAGAGATGTGTAAGAGGAGGACACACCTAAACAATCCATTGCATTTGTGTCAAGCAGCCAGGCTCTTGCAATACTTAGTGGATGGTAGATCTAAAGTAGAAGGTACATTAGGGTGGGTTAGTTTATGGTCACCTTGGGAAAAAGAAAAACATACATTTACATTTTTTATCAATTCAGTATCATAAGTTATCACAAAGTTGTTATCCAATAGGCTTAACAGCAGTAAAAGAAATTGGTATGGGCCATTCATGGTAAACAGCTGCTAGTCATGAAGTAGTTAACCAGCGGATGCCATGCCACACTCATTTTGTATGTGTAAACATGTAGATGTCTGTTTAAAATTAATTATTTTTTTCTAATGTTTTGTAGAAAAATATGCCCAAATTTAATAAGATTCCATTCTACCTCCAACCCCATTCATCATCTGGAGCAAAGACGTTGAAGAAGTGAGTACATTTGTAGTACCTGTTGGTCACTTGCTGTTTTGCATTTTTCTGATTTTATAGGAGAACCATTGATTGATTTAAAAGCCCATTTATAGCACTTGTGAAAAACTAAATTAACCAAAATATCTTCAATACTTTGTTTTTTTGTTTTTTTTTTTTCAAAGCAGAACTCGAATACTTTTATCAGGTAGGGAGAACCCCCTGCAAAGTTTGCTTTGCAGTGGCTCCCCAGAGTGTCAGATTAACTCTGAATCCTTGCCCTTATGTGGTATTTCCACTGTTTCAGGGGCACCATCCTCCACTTCCTTTGTGTCAAGGGAGGAGTTTTCTAGCTGCAGGATCAACTCTTTTCAGGGGTTCTCCCTAGTAAGGAATGCCAGAGGCGCAAATGTGGGCACACTTTTCTCTCTCCTCTCCTTTTGAGGGAGGATAAGGCATCAGAGCAAAGTCGTTGTGATGAGGAAGAAGAAAAGGAAGCTGTTCATAAGGAATCTCTAAGAGGAGTCTCGGGGTCCAGGGTTGTCCCAAACACAGAACACCTCTGTGGGCTTCTGGTGAATGTGGTGTACATCTGAAGAGTTTCCACTGCTTGTCACAGATTATATTATCTTGACAGACCCTTCCTTTTCCCTCCTTCATTACAATCCATCCTGCCTGCTGTGCAGAGTACATACTATCCCCACTTCCAGCCCTTCTCTGACAGTTCTCTCTGCATTAAGTCAACAGAGCACAACCAGCAAGGACCCATTGCCACCTTCTTGTCCAGCTCCTGGACCTGACATTTTGAGTTCTTGTACAAGCAGGTACCTAGCCTGTGGCTTTTTCTATCTATTTAGTAGCACTCTGCACAGCAGGCAGGATGTGATCGGCTGCTTGGCTTTATTCTCTCCCAGAGCCCCCAACCTGCTTAGGACCATTTTCTCTGCACATAGATCAGCTAGTTACTTTCTGCATCCAGACTGGACCATGGATCATAAGGTACAGTGGGTATTGTGGACGGGCTTTCTCAGCTATCAATACCTGACTCTGGCTGAATGGGCCCTTCACCTGAAGGTGCTTACAGAGATTTGTCTGGGGTGAGGGGCACTGGATGTAGTTCGTTTGGAATCTAGATTCAATAACAAGTTTGGACAGGTTTGTGTTACAAACCAAGGATTCCCAGGTATTTGTACTAGATGCCTGGGTGGCTCCTTAGGATCCATTTTCCCTGATCTATGCCTTCCTTTCACTTCAGCTATTTCCTTACCTGGTATACAAGATAAAGGCAAAGGGCATTCCAGTGATTCTGAACACAGTCATGGCCAAAAAAAAAATGTGGTGTGCCAACATTGTAAATCTCTTGCAAGCCGTAGGCTCTGTTGCAGGGTCTAATTTTTCATCCTGCTTTATGTTTTTGGCTACACTATTAAAGCCCAATTCCTGAGATACAAGGGTGTTTCTGATTTCTGCAGTCCTACTCTCCTTAAGGCTAGAAAATTAACTTCCAGGAAGATGTACCACCATTTAGTGTTTGGCTCATAAGTTCCATCCTGACCATATGTCATGGGGTGCATGTTGAATTTTCTCTAGTCTGGTTTGGAGCTGTCTCTCGCTTTAAGTACCATCAAGGGACAGATATTGGCATTGGCCATTCTGTTTCAGAGACTTTTTGCATCGCATTCGTTAAAACATTTTTTGATGGATGTCACATGGATTGACCCACCTGTATGGCTCCCCGCGATACTTTAACTTTGTCTTGGTGGTTGTGTGGACCTCTCTGAGAGATTCCCTTGTTACTCCTTAAACAAAAGGTGGTCTTTTTTGATGGCCCTTACCTTGGCCCTCAGAGGCTGTGCAAGGGAACTTTCCTGTTTTTTCACTAGGATAAGTTGATGTTGAGGCCCTGGCCTTCTTTCCTACCTAACGTGGTTTCTTCATTCAACATGAATCAGAACAATGTGTTGCCATCTTTTTGCCCTCATTCTAAGCATCTTAAGAAAAAGGTGCTTCGCTTTTTGAATGTTGCTTGCGCTGTTTGAGTTTCTCTGAAGTTACAGCTTAATTTCAGTAGTCTGACTTCCTGTTTGTTCTACCTGGGGTCTTCATTGTCAGTCCACTATTTCAGGTGGATTCATCAGCTCTTTTCTCAGGCCTGTTGTATCAAGGGCAAGGTTCCTCATTTTCTGGTCAATGCAAATTCCACCAGGAGTGTCCATGCATCCTGGGCCTTTCAGCATCAAGCTTCTGTTGTTTAGGATTGTAAGACTGTTACCGGGTCTTCTTTTCACAGGTTTACTAATTTCTATGAGGTCGATGTTCGTGCCTCTACAGACACCAGTTTGGGGCGGAAGATCTTTTTTGGTGGGTTTTGTCCCTGTTCTATTTTGGGTTTGAGCATTTGTCCTTATTGCTGTCTTGCCCACCCCTCATGTTCACTGCTTTGGGACATCCCAAGTAGTCGTCAATATCAACTCTTTCCAGTGATGTATGATTTAAGAAAAAAGGATTTAACAGGTAAACCAAAAATCCTAATGAGTATATCATAGGACACAAAGATCCCTCCACTCGTTTGTATTCCTAACTGCTGGCTACAAAACGGAGACTTATGCAGGCCATACACGGTCCGAATTCTGAACGATTTTTCATTCGAAAATCGAAATTTCATTCGTTCTGTAATCCGATGGTGCCACCAGTGATTTCGAAAATCAGTTGTTTTTCACGAATTTTCCAGCATGCCTGATAAACGAAATGAGTAGGAACCACGAAAATCGGCCGATGCCATTGCCCCACTAACAGAGCGAAAATCGGCCGATTATTTTTAGGTCCGATTGTCGTACGAAAATCGTTTGGAATTCGAACCATGTATGGCCTGCATTAGTTGGGCTGCAAGGGGTTATGCCTTTTTTTTTTGGCCCACTGTCCATTCACCTAAAGGTGGCAGCATAACCCTAGGTAGCCCTGAATATTAAGTCCTCTGTGTCCTGTGATGTATTTCAATAAAATGATTTTACAGGTAAACCAAAGATCCTAATGTTGGAAACCTGGAATTGCCAATAACATATTTTCTGAATACAGGGTGGATTTGATTTAAATCAAACTGATTTAAATCACGATTTAAGTCACTAGTCAGTAAGGCTTGATTTTAAATCCTAGTTTTCTACATAGACTAATTCTTGCTGGTATAACTTTAATATGCAAGTAGATGAAGATTTTTAGAATAACAACTTTTCACATTAGTTTTTTATCCCCAGTTTAATAGGTTAATCATTCATATTTGGACAACGTTTCTGTTGTACTTAGGAAGGAGAAAAATAATCGTTACCCTAATAATAACAATTTAAATAGATTTATTCAACTGAAACAATAACATTACAGCATGTGTTATTTGCTTAAACAAACATCCATGTTTGTTAACTAATTTGGCTAAACAAAATATATATATTTTAAGAAACTTAGACTGTCAGCCCCTTCCTCCTCACACTTAGCTTCACTTTCTTCTTGTGCAGATCTATTCCACTCCAAACAATCAGAAAAATATTGTTTCTATTCACTGAACTTCTTGAAATTTAGCACTGAAGGGGTTGATTCTGTATTCATAGGTTTGTAGAAGTTAGGATTAAGGTCTTTTTCTTAACTCTGTTCATGTTATAACATTTTTGCTGTGAAGAAGAGGCATGTGATCTCCGCTGAGTCAAATTCAGTTTTGAGAACTGCAAAAGTAAACCAAGCATCTGTGATACTATCTTGTAGGCAGATAAACTGCCCAATAATCTTACAAAAACCTCTGGAAGAGCATGACATTGTGAATGGATTAATGGAATTTATTTACCAAACAAATTAAACATATACAGCCTTATTCTACATAATTAAAAAACTAATCTTTATTTCATGATGGAATAACCTTTTGGATGGTAATATATTTTCCTCAAAAAGCATTTTATGTTAAAAAATCCGATTTAAATCAAAAAAAAATCCAATTTAAATTAAAAAAATCCGATTTTGTTTTTTTTTTTTTAATCATTGATTTTTATCCACCCTGTCTGAATATCATTGTAGCAGAGTTTGTGTCTAAACCATTACCATTTCTGAATGACGGGTAACATTTTAAGCACTTCCCACCTTTGCAGGGACAGACTCTCAGCTAGTGACATGCTGCAAGTCAGAAAGGTGATGGAGCACGTCTATGAGAAGATTATAAATGTAGATACGGAATCTCAGACAACCAGCTCCTCAAATAATGAGAAGCCAGGAGAACAAGAGAAAGAAGAAGACATTGCTGTGCTGGCCGAAGAGAAGATTGAACTCCTGTGTCAGGACCAGGTAATGTTTACTTGCTTATGTATGTTCTGGTTGATTTTTATTTGTGTGGTTGATACTGCAGTGAAGATGGTGTTATGTTGGCTAAATATAGCAGCCAGAAGTTATATTGAGTACAGAACCTATGCAGAGTTATCCAGTATGACAGTATGAAAACTGCAATAGCATGGCCATTCAGTCGGGTACTGCTGAAGTCAGACTGGATTTTAAGTTCTTGTTGTTGTACCACAAAAAGCTGCACTGTCCCTTTAAACATAAACAAAATTCATAATCATTATCACAAGTTATGCATAATATTCATATCACAAATTGTGCATCATTATATACCACACCTAAAAAGTGCTCTAGTGCAAATAATTCCTATGTAAAAAGCAAAGTTTAAAATCATACATTTTTTCATAAAAGCGCTATTGTGCATATAGCATGAAAAAATTTCATAGAGATTGAAGTTTCACAGCACAAGATTATTTGGGAAATTATCAGTCTAGCCACCACCGCAAGAACCAGCCTCTTATGACATTATCGCGCACACCGCCGGTTGAGCAGCGATGCTATTTCTAATATTTGTAGACGCCAATCATTGTAAGGACCTGTAAAGTCAATAGACTGATTTGAATGAAGATATTGGGCCATAGATTTTTGGTTTGTTCTCTGAGTGATTGAAGCCTGACCCAGGTGAGGACGAGCTGGATAGTGCAAGCTAGACTGCTGCTGTGATCCTGTGTGGAGTGACACCTGCTGTTTTAACTTCTAATCTTGAGATTGTTGCATTTGGTGAGAGGCTAGTTTTGGCGGTGGGGCGGCGGGGGGGTGGTAGTTTCACAGCGGTGGAATTAGATTGAAATTTCACAGCACCAGACTATTTGGGAATTTATGAATCTCCGTGGACTTTGGTGGACTATTTTCTAATTTAAATGAAGAACACATGAGCACTTTTTTTCATGCTGTATGCACGTCAGCACTTTTATGAAAAATGCATTAATTATTTTCATTGTTGTGTTTTTTGTTTTTTTTTTTCTTTTTACATATTATTTTGCACAAGAGCACTTTCTAGGTGCGGTATATAATGATGCACAATTTGTGATATGAATTTGATGCATAGCATGTGATAATTGTTTGTTTTTTGTGTTTTTTTAAGAATTTTGTTTGTTTAGTTGCACTTGAGCACATTTTTTTTAAAGGTACAGCACAGCTTTTTGTGGTATAGTTTTTGTTTAGATGTCATCTTGTATTCTGGTATTTTAAGTTACAGCAGTCCCCAGGTTGTGTAAAATTTTAACACTGAGTGCAGGTTAACATCCCCACAGATTATGAGTTGCTTCACTATGAAAACACATCAGATCTCGATGGGGAAAAATCATGCTGGATATCTATACTGATATGGACTGGGTAATGTGTTAGGACTGTAAGGATGCCCCATTGTTTGATGGAAATGAAAATTATCAACTTACAGAGGACTGATCTCAAAGACACCCCAAAAATCAAAGTGGAAAAAATGATGCAGCAGGCTAGTCCATTTTTGCTGAAATTTCATTGCAGCAACTCAAAATGGTACTCAGTAGTTTGTATGGCCCCCACGTGCTTGTATGTATGCCTGACAACGTCGGGGTATGCTCCTAATGAGATGACGGATGGTGTCCTGGGGTATTTCCTCCCAGGTCTGGACCAGAGCATCACTGAGCTTCTGAACAATCTGAGGTGCAACCTGACAGTGTCGGTTGCACCAAAACATGATATCCCAGAGGTGTTCTATTGGATTTAGGTCAGGTCAATGGTATTCATTCCTTCATCTTCTAGGAACTGCCTGCATACTCTTGCCACATGAGGCCGGGCATTGTTGTGCACCAGGAGGAACTCAGGACCCACTGCACCAGCGTAGGGTCTGACAATGGGTCCAAGGATTTCATCCCGATAGCTAATGGCAGTCAGGGTGCCTTTATTTTAACTTGTAGGGTCTGTGCATCCCTCTGTGGATATGCCTCCCCAGACCATCACTGACCCACCACCACAACGGTCATGTCAAACGATGTTACAGGCAGCATAATGTTCTCCACGGCTTCTCCAGACCTTTTTACGTCTGTCACATGTGCTCAGGGTGAACCTGCTCTCATCTGTAAAAAGCACAGGGTGCCAGTGGTAGACCTGCCAATTCTGGTGTTCAATGGCAAATGCCAATTGAGCATTATAGTGCCAGGCAGTGAGCACAGGGCCCACTAGAGGACGTCGGGCCCTCAGGCCACCCTCATGAAGTCTGTTTCTGATTGTTTGGTCAGAGACATTCACACCAGTGGCCTGCTGGAGGTCATTTTGTAGGGCTCTGGCAGTGCTCATCCTTTTCCTCCTTGCACAAAGGAGCAGATACCGGTCCTGATGATGGTTTAAGGATCTTCTACGTCCCTGTCCAGCTCTCCTAGAGTAAATGCCTGTCTCCTGGAATCTCCTCCATGCTCTTGAGACTGCTGGGAAATGCAGCAAACCTTCTGGCAATGGCACGTATTGATGTGCCATCCTGGAGGAGTTGGACTTCCTGTGCATACCAGTAGTGACACTGACCCTAGCCAAATGCAAAACTAGTGAGAAACATTCAGGGCAAAAATGTCAGTGGCCTCCAGCTGTAAAACCATTCCTGTTATGGGGGTTGTCTCATTGTTGCCCATCTAATGCACCTGTTGTTAATTTCTTTAACACCAAAGCACCTGAAACTGATTAACAACCCCCTCTGCTACTTAACTGACCAGATCAATATACCAGGAGTTTAATTGACTTGATACTATACTCTGATTAAAAAGTGTTCCTTAAATTTTTTTTGAGCAGTGTATATTCTTTATGTTCAGGACAGAAGGTTACATTTTTAAATGTTATCTATCTAGTTGGGTAAATATGGGATATTCCATAAAAATACTTTGGTTACCCTATGCAGCCAGTGAATGGAGCTCTAGAGCCTATTTAACTTTACGTTTTTACCCACACAGACTAAGTCAGAGTATAGCACACCCCCTTCTTCTAGTTCACACAGCTCTGTAGGCAAAAGCTGATGCTGGCTTGAACTTTTAGATGGGCCCTGCATTGTATCATGAAAGTTTTCTGTATCTAGCATTTATAGTATATATCATGTAATCTAGTGCAGATTTTATTAAATAAAATGGGACAAAAATGTGAACGTGCATAAAAGGTCAGTTTGGAAACTTGTAAAAAAAATGCTTAAAATTAATAGATAAACATTTTAGTTTCCTTTTTAACGTGTGTGCATAGATGTGAATTCTGTACACAAGCCATAAAAAATCCACATTGAACTTGGTTAATATGAAGGCCCAGGTTATACTATACATGGAAAATCGTGTATTAAACACTGTTTATTATTTTGTATGCTCAAACAATAAACCTTCATTGTGGGGCACTCCTCTGATACTGGTTCTTGCTCTACCCCCTTCCATTTAAATTAACTCTTATATTTAATGTTCACAAGCTCTAGACTAGATGCATCTCCAAACAGCATTCCTTCCTTACAGCCCAGTTGGACCTTATGTTTAAATCAGCTAAACACTTTCTTGGTACATCAAAACAAAAGGTGTTCAATGTTGTACAGTTAATTTTTTTGTTTTTTATGTAAAGCAGTCACAGCCTGAAAAGAAAAGCCTGTCCCCTGCCAGCACGTTGCAGGGTGGGACTCCTGACTTGACTGAGTCAGACAAAGCCCTGCTGATTAGAGAATTGTAGCTCTGACTCAGCAGGGATGTGCAAAACTTCAGAGAGACCAGAGAGGCTTCACAACCAAGAGTGAAAGGGGTCCTTCTCTGCAGCATGCAGGCAGGGGACAGGATTTTCTATAAAAAAAAATTTAAAGAAAAAATGAGGGCTGCCATTGGTGACCTGCTTCTGAAAATGCTAGTTTTTTGGCAGTACTTTGAGACACAAGCTAGTAACTAACTCGCAGAATAGGAAAGGCAGAACTCCTGATCTGCCAACTTGTACGGAACTAGTTAGTCAAGAAGTATCAGTCATAGTGAGCTTCCTGCACTTTGCGTTTTTCCGCATCCATAAGTTGTGCATTGATCTTGTAGTTTGGTGTATATTTATACATTCTTGTGTCATAAAATTTCTGTTTGATACAGGCATTTGGCATGACATTGCACAAGTTAATGCACAATTTCTGTCTGTTGTATGAGACCTGACACTTCTTGTGAAGAAACCACATATTCCTCAACCCCTGAATATCTCAGTCTTGTGCTCATGCAGGTGAGAGGCTACACAGTAGTTGGATCTGAATCTGACACTAGCAGGCAGAGCATTCACAGACACACAGGGAACTCACTCATGCCACTGGAGTAGTATTTCATCACATTAGCACTCCCACATCGGTGATACAATACGTAGGGGATGGCAAGGCATGGATTGGACTCCGTGTCGCCCTGAACACAACGTTTTTCTGTTCCCTTGGCGCATAGGAACCAGTTAGCTAAAGCAATACATGGACAAAAGGAAATCAATCAGCTATGACACTGCAGACTGCAGCCACAAAATATGAGCTCATTATTACAAGACGAACAAACAGCACCTAGAATTAACTGCACTAATACCTGGTGCAAAGATTTGAAAGTGTACAATGCCTTTAAATGTGTTGGGTCATTATGACGGCCAAGGGATTAGCAATTTATGAAGACAGGATCAACAGTCTCAGTACTTGTTTCTTTTTAAGGATAATTCCTTTTACTTACTCTTTGCATTCATGTTCCCACATCTGTGTCTTTGTTTTCTGCAGATTTTAGATCCTAATATGGACCTGAGGACTGTGAAACATTTCATCTGGAAGAGTGGAGGTGATCTGACCCTCCACTATCGCCAGAAATCCACGTGAAAGAAATCCAAGGAGTGACTAAACTGACATTACTCGTCTGGATTCAACATTAGTACTGTATAGAAGCCTGCTGAACTCTTGAACACAGAGCCAGTATGGGCATTCATGTGTATGCTTAGTTAATCTAACAAATAAGCAATTACCCACTGACTCTGCTTTAGTTACTTGAGTTACCTGAAGGATCCAGAAAACGAAGGCAGCCCAACGTTATTTTGTTTGTGTTTTAATGTACAAAGTCTTTGATACACACTTTGTAATGCTTCCTATGCTTATCTGTCCCAAGAGTCTTTTGAAGTCTCTCTTAAGCTCTGATTTTCTGTCTTTCAGAAGAGCTTGTTGATGTAAAGTTCCCTGCCCCTTGCACCGTGTGTGTCTAAGTACATTCCAGTCTGCAGGTAGTAGTTTTAACTGTCCAGTTCAGCAAGGTAAGGAGCAGTCCCTATGAATGAGGGTTATTTGAATTGTGCCCCAGTGGGCAGCCATTGTATAAGCTATTCAGCTGTTTCGTTAATTTTTTAAAATAGAAGGGATAAGGTCATTCCTCCCAGGAAGCTTACTGGGTTCCTGGTGAATTGACAAGCTGTGTTTTCATGTGCCACACAGTAACTGCCTCTAATGTTGGCATAGACTGGTACACTGAAAGACAACTCCACTTTTCTGACAGTATGATATTATAAGGTGTGAATCGGTGTGATATCCTTATCCTTGTAAATAGTGTTAGTAATTGCATTTTGTTTTCCCTTTTACCTCTTGGGTTCGATCGCACTGGAGATTTGTACATTCTTACTACCATAATATCTCTTTCACATACAGGCCTCAATAAGGCAGACAAAAGTACAGGAACATGAAAAAAGTGTTATAACCCTTGCCAGCCGATCAGATTTAAACAAATTCTCTTGATTGCAGTCAAAGTAAATCTAATTGGCTGTTATGGATTATTGCACATTACATGCTGTCATGTTAAATATGCACTACTTTTCTTAATAAAGCCAAATTAAAACTGAAGTGTTGCCAAGAGGCAGTTGTCTGATGAATGTAGATACTGTATATCCGTAGAAAGAATTAAAAATCTTTGTAACAGAGCCATTATATGTCCTTTTAATTATTCAATACACAATAAGACAATACAAGCTGGATCAATAAGGTAAAACAATTCAGGCAAAAGGGTACCTGCAAGGTACATTATTTGTTGAGCATGATCAACATTGCTGTTGACCTGTGTTTATATCAGTGGAATGCAATCTGTACATGCCAGGAGCAGTTAAAAGAATGTTCCGTAGACACAGCCATGTGTAGTGTTCCTCCATGAAAACCAGCAAAATTTGTGCATTACTTACTCGGTATAGTGGATTTTTTTAAATCCTTTCATTTACATAAGAAAAATGTAGTAGGCAATAATGTTAACCATTGAAGACTGCCTCATCATACCCTATAATATTACATTTGCCAGAAGTAGGTGGAGTCATTATTTAATATGATGGTACAAAGAGCGCTGATGTGTATTGGAAAGCATCTGATCTTTCCTAAAGGTGTGTTAAGAATCAATGACTGGTACTTTATTGGCCGAAGACCATTTCAAGCCTTTGCACCATTTAGGACAGGCCATCCATGATATTGCTTATTGTAAATGTATCCCTTTTGTATGCTATGAGAATTCATATCATTAAAGGATAAGTTCACGTTTAATAATAAATGCACATTTGTTTTGCAGGTAAAAAAAACTGTGCATTTATTCATTTTTGGAGCCTGTAAAGCATTGCAACAGTGGTCAGCAGATTGCTGGTGCCATGCAGGTCTCCTGCAGACTGTCAGTTTATATCTGTGTGCTTGTACCTCGTACGTGCAGATGGTGTAACACTGATAGTGTGAATGAACTACCACGACTCCCCACAGCACTGTGGTAGTTCATTGAGAACTATAAGCGGACATCCGTAAAGGATGTCTGTACTTGTAGGAACATTCATTCACAGAACTCTGTGACTGAATGACGTGACCATGTGGGAGGAGCCCCGTATGACCGTGCTGATTTTAAGCACACACAGCTAGTACGGGGAACTTCTCCCTGTACTGTTGTCATCGGGGGGCGGTGAGGAAGAATCAGACAGAGGCTGCAGTGTTACTAGTCCTCAAAGGTGAACTTCTCCTTTAATGTAGATTTTGCATATCTGCGCTGTTTTCCATGTAGGACCAGGAGGTAGCTGAAGGGCCATAAGGCAGGTAAGACTTGTGTCATGAGCTTTCTATAGGATAACCCACAATTCTTACATTGCTTCATGGAAGGGATATTACTGGTACATAGTTGATTTGGGAAGACAAATGGCCTCTTGAGTTATAGCTAGGAATGTACCAATACCGATTTTTTTTTTTTTTTTTTTTTTTTTTAACACCAAGTACGAGTACCAATACTTTTTTTTTTTTTTTTTTTTTTAAAGTGTGATATCGATTACCGATACCTATTGCCTAGGTAGAGGGGTGGTTTGGAAGGTGGGGAGGGGAGTTAGGGGGTTGTAGAGGATTAAGAATTAATGGCACCCAAGTGTGTCTGCAAAAGGCAGCACATTTTTTGTGTGGTATAGGAAAACATGAGTTTTCGCACATGTTGGCGCACTGCACTTGCTGTGAACAAACCCTAAAATGTACTCTTGTGAGGCGGGGTTTAGTTGTCTGTAGGTTGTAACTCCTCCCAAAATACCCCCCCCCCCCCCCAAATCTCCCCTCTTCCTAGCACAAATTCTATCCCTACAGTAGTGACAGCAGTAGCTCAACTCCTCTGAGTGATCCTCGGTCTTCTGTTAGCACATGTGCTGTGAGGCACAGAGCACTGTAAAGCCCTGTGCACAGAAGATGCATAGAGCTCAGCCCGCACCTCCCCTGCCCTTTGCTCCTCTCTGTACTCTTTCTGGCAAAACAGCTGAGCTGGCCACCCAGAGGATCGAGGATCGCTCAGATGGATAGACAACTATCCATCTTTTTTTTTTTATTACATTTCAGCTGTCAGTAGAGGAATCCCGCTGACAGCTGAAATGTCATTGGTTGTTAAGCACACAGCAGCCCGTTCCTTAACAACTGATAATTGCTGGCATTCTTTTGTTTACATTTCAGCTGACAGCTGAAAGAACAGATCCTGAAGGTATCGGTTTTTAGTATCGGAGCAATTGGACGAGTACCGAAACTAATGCACGTGCTAAGTACTGTCATCCATACCGCTATTGGTATCTGTGCAATCCTAGTTATAATGTAGTTTTGCTCTTTGTACCATCAAATAACACAAAGTCTTTGTTTTCTTCTATCGCAATTGTTGGTAGAAAAGTGCACCTGCACTTTGATAATAAAAAGATGCCAACAGTTCTTGTGTAATTATCTCCCTGTATAAAGAATGTTTTGGCATGGTGTGGGTCCTGATGCTGTGCATCATACTGAACTCCGTTCCCCCTTGCCATGATGCTGTTCATTAGCCACTGAGCCAAACCTTCCATTCTGACTACGTGTAGATGTGTATGTACCACGGCTGCTCTGACTATATATTTTGTAACATAAGAGGTTTCAGGATTTGTGGAAAGGTTTCTGGAACTTGAAACAAAGGAAGGCAAATTTCATACTTGTTTGACAAATAATTTGTTTTTTGGAGATGTAAATAAACTCAACATTTTGTGTATAGGTTAAAAATGCCAGCTGCAAGGTGCTGTTTTATGGACTGAATTGTCATTTAATTTAGTGATCATATAATTAAACACTTCCTTTTGAAGATGATTTAGATCCACTGCTGGATAGGAACGTATAAAGGGGAAGTAATGTGTCACCTAATGGTTCCAGTTAAATAAAAAAAATGCTAAATTCTTTTCCTTTGCATTACTGAACAAATGCTATAGATATCCAGAGAAATGATATTGCAAGCACGGCAGGTAGAATGTCGCGTAGCTGGGTCCAGCTTTTTTTAAGTAGATTCAGCTGATTAAGCAGATGTTTTCAGCTGTTCCGTTTTGGAATCTGACTTCATATTATCTTTTCATCTTTGCACAGAAAGCTGGCCATACAGAGGAAAAAGAGGTTGAAAGATGTTGACTTTATGATTGTGATTTGACTGTACACTAATTAGGTATTGTATGATGCCCAAATAGTCACAACAAATATTGTTAGGATACCTAGGTTGAAGAGAGAGAAGTAAATGGCCACACATCACCCCAGAACTAATCCAAAGTGAAATCTTTGATATCTTCACAGTCAGAAGAGCTGTGCAGGACAAGCTGACACGTTTCACACTCAAGTAACGTGCTTATTTTAGAACAGAATAACCGCATTATGAAACGCATCAACAACGCAGTGTGAAACACATCAACAACTTGTCCTGTTCTGCTCTCCTGACTGTGAAGATATTAAAGATTTTGCTTTGCATTAGTTCTGTGGTGGTTTGTGGCCATTTTACTTTCTCTTTAGTGTATGCGGCGGTGAGCCGTGGCGGGCACTCACACGTAACTGTAGTAAAGTGACTCACCTGAGCGGTATACACTGTGTACAAGGATGCCGAAGCTGCCAGAGCAACAGATGAGGTATGGAAATGTTTACCTGATCTTCTATCAGTCTTGAAGACAACTTGCCAAATCTGTTTACCCTGTTTAAGGTAGAGCTGGAGATGCATTTGATCTTTACAGCCTGGTCATGACTTTTCATATTCCCATCTGCTGGCATTAGTGAACTCTTTATTCCTATAGAGAATCCGCTAGAAGATACAGAAATACTTTGTCTTCTGCGCTATGGTAAATTCCCTATAGAAAGGAGCTGTACATACAATCTTGTGGGGACTTTAGTCATATAATGACCTCGACACTATAGCAGGCTCCTAGAGGTATCTACATATGTTTTCATTTACCCCTTAAAGCATTGTAACATGCATGTAGTGACTTCATCAGGGACTTAGGCAATGTCTTACTGTTGGCCAGAAGTGTGATAGGTGACCAGTGGAAGGTGCAGAACAGCAAAGTGCAGCTTCCTAGATGATGGCA